TGAAGCTGTGGTTTTAGTTTCTTTCTCTAGTGATAAGCAGAAAAAGGGAATCAGGAAGGGGCTTTACTGGCCCAACGTAAAACAAACTAAGAACCCCCCAGTGTATTGTTGTCTCCCTTGGACACTTGCTAGAACATTTAGTAGATGCTGACAATTCTGGGCTAATGTAAAAGCCAAGTCTGTCAGATTTCTTGAGAATCAATGTTTAAAAAAAAAAAAAAAAAGCCGAGTCTGGACAGGCCATAGACTGGGGGACTAGGGTGAGGAAGTTGTTGAAGGAGGCCAGGGGGATGGCAGGGCCATCAGTGACAGTAGTATTTTAGAGTTAGAGGGTCTTTATCGATTGTCTAGTTCACATGTCTGAGTTAGGGGGTTAACTTGAGCCCAGGAGTTGGAGACCAGCCTAGGCACCATAGTGAATCAACGTCTCAGTTAAATTAATTAATGAAGTCAAGAAAGGTGAAGCGTGGATGGCTTCAGTGACCCGGACTAATACAGAGATTAGTGGCAATGGGGAGGATCAGAGCCTTGCTTCTGAGGGATTACACCACAGCTCACTTCCCCCACCCATAGGCCAAATAAACTGAGCATTGACAGTCAACATAGTGATCCTGATACCTGGACCCCATTCGATGTCCCGTGGATTAAGGAGACCATACTCCTCCATACAACTTGTTGAGGGACTTGGTGGGTGCTCCAGCCTCTTGGAGGCTTCCTGCTTTGGCTGCTGTGCTCAACCCAGAACTACCCTCTGCCTGGAATTCTCCTTTGGACACACACACAGGCAGAACCCGGCCTTGCCTTTGCATCCAGTAGCTGTGTGCAGTCACCTGGGATAGTGCTGCAGGTCAGCAGCTGGCACAGTGCTGGACACCGGGTTGGGGTCGCTCAGCCAGTCTCAGCCCTGGCTGCCAGCTAGATTCCCCCAGGAAGCCTCTACAGCTTCGGACTCGGCAGGTCTGTGTGGATCCCAGCAAAATTGTTTTCAGAGCCCCCCAAGGTATTGCCAATGCGGAGCTAGGGCTTGGGACACCTGTTAGAGGGAGCTGAGTCCTGTGGGACAGGAAGTGGAGAACCTGGGAGAGGCAGAGGCAGAGGCACTCAGGGAACTGGCCTTTGGCCGCCTGCACCCACAGCCAGTGGCAGATCACTCCAGACACACGGCTCCCCCTGGCCCCACCATCCAAGTCGGAAGGGCCACCAACAGTCCCCAGTTTAGGATTGCTGGGTCAGCCGCTCGGAATGCCTGAGTGCCGCCCTGTGCCCACCTGGCCTGGGTGTGTTTGTTGTCAGTTGTATACTCGCGAATGAATGCCAAGGTCACCTCTGCTGGTAACCTTTGGGCAGGGCTGCTTACAGGTGACTCATGTTGAGAGTGACCCCATGGTCCTCAAAGGCCCCCTTTGGAAGGAGTGGAGAAGGGACCCTCACATGTGCCATGGATCCGGGTAGGTCCTTGCGGGTTGACATTGGTCATGAGGAATCCACTGGCTTAGAAAATTCAGACTTAGAACAGGCCATCAGCCAGCTCCAGACGGCTAAGGCCTTGGAAATGTGTATTGGGCTTCATCATTCAGCCTGGGAGGAAGGGAGTGATTGTCTCTAGGTGCCTCTGGGAGGAATGAGTTACTCTGTATAACTAGTTAGTTCCAACAGGCCGGGAGCCTCTTGTAGGATAAGCCATTCTGTCCTCCTGGGGGTACTCACATTGGGGTGAGGGTGGTCTGGGATTTTGACAGACCATCTGGGAGGTGGGCTATGCCTCAGCCAGAAGGTGGGCTGGAGTGGGGGGGAGGGGAGCCTGTAGCCCCAATTTCCTGGATGGGATGGGAAGAGCATGATAGGACTCGCTGCTCATGGTGGCCAGAAGTTGCACCCCAGCCAGCATGTGCTCCTCACCCTGTCAGACCCCATAGGCAGATGCCCAAAGACTGTTCCTGGCAGCAAGACGGTAGCATTTTGGGTCCCCTTTTCTTTTTTCTTTTCTTTTTGGAAGGGAGAAAGGGAGGAAAGGAGGGAGGGAGGGAAGGAGGGAGGGAGGAAGAGAAGGGAAGGAAGGAAATCAAGCAATGAGAGAGACATTGCTGACCTGGATCTAGAGGTCTACAAGTTGATTTCTTTTTTTCTTTTTTTGAGAGAAGGAAAGGAAAAAAAAGGAGTGAAGGAGAGGAAGAAAGAGCTTTATTCTAAAAAAAAAAATGGGTATTAATAATGGCCAACCAGTATTTCATTTAAACCTATGAGTAGGTGTGATGTGGTATTGACAAGAATGTATATTTTATGTATTTGAAGTGGAGAGCTCTATAAATATTTATTAAGTTTACTTGTTCCGGATCTGAGTTCGAGTCCTTGATATCCTTATTAATTTTCTGTCTCATTGAGTCTAAGTCTCTTTGTATCTGGGTGTTAGGATCATTAGCTCTTGTTGCATTGATCCTTTTACCACTATATCTTTGTTGCTTTAAAATCTATTTTATGAGATACGAGAATTGCAACTCCTGCTATTTATTTATTTATTTATTTTTGCTCTCCATTTGGTTGGTAAATCTTTCTCCATCCCTTTGTTTTGAGTCTTTGTGTATCCTTGCATGTGAAATGGGTCTGGATGTAACATGCCGTTGGGTTTTGGCTGTGTCTTTTGATTGGGGGATTTAGTCGATTTAAATTTAGGGTTACTGCCATTTGATGTTAACTGGCTGTTTTATCCATTCGTTGATGTAAATTCTTCTTTATGTTGATGCTCTTTACTTTTTGGTATATTTTTAGAAAGGCTAATACTGGTTGTTTCTTTCTATGTGTAATGCTTCTTTCAGAAGCTCTTGTAAAGCAGACCTGGTGGTAATAAAATCTCTGAGTACTTGCTTGTTCATAAAAGATTTTCTTTTTCCTTCAGTTGTGAAGCTTAGTTTGGCTGGATATGAAATTCTGGGCTGAAAGTTCTGTTCTTTAAGGATGTTGAATATTGGCCCCCACTCTCTTCTGGCCTGTAGAGTTTCTGCTGAGAGATCTGCTGTAAGTCTGATAGGCTTCCCTTTGTGGGTAACCTGACCTCTCTCTCTGGCTGCCCTTAGTATTTTCTCCTTTGTTTCAACCCTGGTGAATCTAACGATTATGTGCGTTGGGGTTGCTCTTCTTGAGGAATATCTTTGTGGTGTTCTCTGTATTACCTGGGGTTGAATATTGACCTGCTTTGTTAGTTTAGGAAAATTTTCCTGAATAATATCCTGAAGAATATTTTCCAGCTTGGATTCATTCTCTCCGTCGCATTCAGGTACACCTATCAAATGTAGATTTGGTCTTTTCACATAGTCCCACATTTCTTGGAGACTTTGCTCATTCCTTTTTATCCTTTTTTCTCTAATCTTTTCTTCTCGTTTTATTTCGTTAAGTTGGACTTCGACCTCTGATATCCTTTCTTCTGCTTGAACAATTCGAGTGTTTAAACCTGTGCATACTTCTTGGAGTTCCTGCATTGTATTCTTCAGTTCCATTAATTCACTTACATTCCTCTCTAAGTTGTCTATTCTCATTAGGATTTCGTTAAACCTTTTTTCAAAGTTCTTAGTTTCTTTACGTTGGGCTACAACATGTTCTTTTAACTCACAGAAGTTTCTTATTATCCATCTTCTGAAGCCTGATTCTGTTAATGGAATGCACTCGTTCTCCATCAAGTCTTGTTCCCTTGTTGATGAGGAACTGTGATCCTCTTTAGAGGGAGAGGCATTCTGATTTTGAGTATTCTCAGCCTTTTTACGCTGGTTTCTTCCCATCACTGTAAATTTATCCACCTGTCGTCTTTGCAATTACCAACTTTCAGATTAGGTCTCTGAGTGGACGTCCAATTTGTTAATTCCCAGGGCCGAAATATGAGCAATCCACTGCGCAGGCCAAAACAGCAGCGTTAAGACTGATGGTGCTTTTCTGCCTGGGAATCTCCAGTCTGGCTTCCTTCTTGAGTCTGTAATAGGCGACTCTGCCTTTCCGGAGCTCCAAACCTCGGTCAGAAGGGGAACCAGTCCCGTTTACTCTGCACCAAGAGCTGTCGCGCCGAGGTGCCGGCCACTGCGCCAGCCACAAGAGTCGCACTGGCGACCCGTGTGGCTCCTCCAAACCTCGGTCAGAAGGGGAACCAGTTCTGTTTACTCTCCACCAAGAGCTGCCACGCTGAGGTGCCAGCGAAACCGCTGCGCCAGCCACAAGAGTCGCGCTGGCGACCCGTGCAGCTCCTCTGCTGGGAATCTTCTGCTCCGTGAGCGACCAAAATTTGTCTGAAAGTGTGGCGTTCTCTCGTTCTCTGAGCTTTCACTGGGAGCTGCAATCTGAGATGTTAGCAATCAGCCATCTTGGATCGTTCTCCTTTTTTTTTTTTGAGAAAGAGTCCTGTTCTGTCACCTAAGGTGGAGTGCAGTGGAGCGATCTCGGTTCATTGCAACCTCCACCTCCCAGGTTCAAGCGATTCTCCTGCCTCAGTCTCCCAAGTAGCTGGGATTACTACAGGCACCTGCCACGATGCCCAGCTAATTTTTTGTATTTTTAGTAGAGATGGGGTTTTACCATGTTGGTCAGGCTGGTCTTGAACTCCTGACCTCAAGTGATCCACCCACCTCAGCCTCCCAAAGTGCTGGGATTATAGGCATGAGCCACTGCACCAGGCCAGGGGTCCCCCTTTCTGTAGCAACCCAACCCACCTGTATGGGAGAAAACAAACCGTTTTCTCTGTACACAAGCTCAACACAGAACACTTATGTGACCAAATGCAGGGACTTTTTCCTACATCGAGCAGTTCTCTGCAGACACCAGGTGGGTGTCCTACAATTTCAACTCAGTTCTGACACTGTCTACCTGGAGTTAGCGTCGGATCCCACAGCTCCGGAAGACTGCCCCTAACTTCACGTGTCAGTAGCAGGTCCAGGTTGTCTGGAGTAAATTGGAGGTTCTAGCAACCCCCTTTTTGAGTTTCATCCCTTGCTAGAGTGGCTCACAGAACTCAGGAAAATAACTTACTGTATGACTTTTTTAATAAAAAGACACAACTCGGGAACAGCCAGACAGAAGAAGTACATAGAGCAGGGTCTGTGGGAAGGAGCGCAGAGCTTCCATGCCCTCTCCTGGCACTGCCACATTTTCAGCCCCAGAAGCTCTCCCAACCCTGTCCTTTTGGACAGCCTTCATTGTGTAGGCATGGTTAATTATATCACTGGCCATTGGTGATCAACCTTCAGCTGTGGGTCTTCCCCAGAGAATTGGGGGTTCCAACTCTCTAATCATGTGGTTGGTTCTTCTGGCAACCAGCCCCCTTCCAGGAGCCCCAGGCACCCGTCATTCATTAGCATACATAGAGACATTTATTACTTTGGAGATTCCAAGGTTTTTAGGAACTGTGTGCCAGGAAAGTAGGGAGTGGGGTAGGCAAAGATCAAATACATAGTTCTTATGTCACAACCCCTGCCAGGGGGCAGACCTGTCTCAGAAAGCCCCTTGTATTGTCTGAGGAGTGAGCCCATGTTCATCCCCCGTCACCCTTGTGGTCTTTGATCAGTCCATTGTGAAGGACCATCAGCATCCCCGAGGTCCTTGTTGGATGCTTGTCGGGAACAGAGATGGTGTCAGCTGGGTATGTGCTGGGACAGGTTGGGTATGGATGCTCCCTTCTCTGTCTCTAACACAGGATGCTTCTTTGCACACACAGATGGCTCGTTCGGAACACCACCTGGGTATGGCTGCGCTGTAGACCGGGCAGAGGAGCAGCGCCGGCACCAAGACGGGCTGCCCTACATCGATGACTCACCCTCCTCATCGCCTCACCTTAGCAGCAAGGGCAGGGACAGCCGAGATGCGCTGGTCTCGGGAGCCCTGGAGTCCACTAAAGCGGTGAGTCCCCATGGCGCATGTGTGGCAGGAGGGCCACATGAGGCTCAGTGGTACCTAGCAGGTAGGTGGTGGAGCAGCCAATGGTTTGGAAGCCAAGTGGGTCTTGAAAAACTTTTTTCTCATCTCTACATGTGGTACACAGACAGCTTGCCAGATGTGTTGAGCCGGGAGATTGGGGGATGCTTTGAAGGAGGAGGAGGCGGCAGCACGTGGTCTTAAGGCTGAGAATGTCGGCACCAGAGGCTACCTGCATGAAACAAGACCTACATGGTGGCCCCAGCAATGCTGCTGAGCTGGGTGGTGTCTGGGCTCGGGTCCCTTTGCTTCATGAAGTTCTCTTGCTCCCTTTTACCAAAACATGTGCTGAGGATGACCAGAGCCTTTCACAGCATGACCAGAGCCTTTCCTGTGAGTTTTCACTTGACCCTCATTAATAATTCTTGACCTTGCTGTCACTTTCACTTTACAAATGTGGAACTGAAGTCCTGTGTTGGATTCCCCAAGGTTGTGCGGCTAGAGAATAGTGGCACATTCAGGAGATGCTCTGCCGTGCCCACTGAGAAAGCGGTGGACCTGCCCCCACCCCCCGTGAGAACATAGCCTGGGGTGGCCGCAGGCTGGGTGGTGCTGGGCCAGCTCGGCCCTGCATGGAGGCCTGACTCCTCTCGATGGTCCCACGGCTGGGGGCTGCTTCAGCCATGCTCTGGGCCCAGATGCACACCCCTTGCCGTTGGTGTGTGTCCTGCCACTTGACCTCTTGTGTTCTTTCCTTCTTGGGCTAAGAAAATCGCTGCCCAGTGCAGTTGCTTCTTTTTGTCTTTCTGGTCCCTGATGACAGATACCTTTCCCAGTCTGCTTAGCTTATTTCTAGATGGTTTCCACCCGGATAACAGCATAGCCTGGCACAGTGGCTCACACCTGTAATCCAAGCTACTCAGGAAGCTGAGGTGGGAAGTTTGCTTGAGTCCAGGAGTTTGAGACTGCAGCGAGCTGTGATCTTCCCGCTGCACTCTAGCCTGGGAAACAAAGCAAGACCCCATCTTTAAATAATAATAATAATAAAAAGAATGAAAAGAAAAAAATAAAATAAGCAGAGCAAGAGAGGAAAGGGCTTTACCCCATTTCTGTAAGGAAGCTCCAGAAGTGTATCTTTTCACTGAGCTGCTTTTCTCTGAGGCTGATGCATTAGCTGCAGGCCCAGCTTATGCATATGCTTTTGTGATTTCTGAAGGCCTTGGTGCTGGGCAGCCTTCTCGTTCTGAACCGAGAGGATGGGAGAGGAAGCCAGTGGGTAACATGTACCTGCTCTGTGCAGCACACACAGGCTGCTGACTTAGGCAACTCTTCCTACCCCACGTCAAGTGTCAGCTTTTTACCGACCAGGAGGTCGAGGTTCAAAGAGGTGAAGTAACTTGCTTGGGCTGCACAGCTCTAGGATTTGAAGCCTTCCTGATTCTTCAGTGGACACACTTTCTCTCCCTCAGCTGTCTTTTCTTTCTTGGTGCATCCCCTCTCTTGCGGCTTCGTGAGCATGGTTTGGTACAGAGAAGGACAAAATTCAGGTAGACTAAGAGCTGAACTTGAGAAAGGCTATTTCTTTCCATCATCCTTGAGGGCTGTCTTCACCCAGCCAGTCCTTGGTGCACCTCCTGGCCCTGAAAGGAAGCTGATCTGCCCACTTGCTGCCCCTGGTTCCTGTCTGGGGGTGGCGCCTCCCACCCACACCCGGCTCTGACTTGGAGTATAACCCTCACCTTGCAGTGCGGGGCTCCTCTTCTGTGAAGCCATGATGCATACCGGTCCCCCGGCTCCTGCTCCCTGCTTCTGCGCTCACAGCAGTTGTAGGCGTTTTTTGCAGTGCACGTCCTGCAGGAGGTTGCTTGTCTGTGCCTGCCAGGTCAGAGTTTCCAGTCCCAAGCACACCCCCTGGCCCAGAGCTGGTCTGAAGAGGAGGGTATTGGATTGGAGGAGAACTGTGTGTAGCTCCTTTCCAGAAACCTTCAGGTGCTCCTCCCAGTGGTTGGGGCCCCAGGATGGGTGCCCTTCACTGCCCTGGAGACAAGCATAGCCTTGACTTCCTGGTTTCCCTGCCAGCCATGCAACAAGCCATGCACATGTCATCTTTCATTTTTGATCTTTAGTTTGAAGACATGGCTGTCGCTTCCTAGGACACCCTACTTCCCCCAGGGAGCATGAGGCTCTTTTTTTCTTTTTTCTTTTTTGAGACAGAGTTCTGCTCTTGTTCCCAGGTTGGAGTGCAATGGTGTGATTTCGGCTCACTGCAACCTCTGCCTCCTGGATTCAAGTGATTCTCCTGCCTCAGCCTGCTGAGTAGCTGGGATTACAGGCATGCACCACCACACCTGGCTAATTTTGTATTTTTAGTAGAGATGGGGTTTCTCCATGTTGGTCAGGCTGGTCTCAAACTCCCGACCTCAGGTCATCCACCCGTTTCGCCTCCCAAAGTGTTGGGATTACAGGCGTGAGCCACTGCACCTGGTCGGGAGCATGGTGATCTTGAGGCCAGAGGCACCCTGATCCTGACCAGCCGGTAGGGTGTGGGCATCAGCCTGCTCATCCCTCTCCTCCTGCATGTCCCCACCCACCCCACTTTTGGTCCCAGTTGCTGATCTTGAGTATTCTAGGCCATGGGGCCATCAGGAAACCCTCAGGGAACTCTTTGGCAGATTGGGGTCTCAGTGGACTCCTGTGGCATGGGTCTTCTCTGTGAATACTCATTCATAGTATAGGCAGAGGTTGGACAGAGGCCAGGCACCCCCTTGCCCAGGGAGCTGTGGGAAGGATTCACATAGGCTGTCCTATAGCGACAACCTTCAGCCCCAGGACCCTGCACAGAGGTCATCCCCTCATCCTCTCTATGCCATGAGGACCAGGTTTTTGGGGTGCTCGCTGGGCTGGGCTGCAGGGCAATGTCCCACATGTTGCTAATGAAAACCTGCCCTTGACCTCGTGATCCACCCTGGTCAACATGGTGAAACCCCGTCTCTACTAAAAATACAAAAAATTAGCTGGGCATGGTGGCGCATGCCTGTAATCCCAGCTACTCAGGAGGCTGAGGCAGGAGAATTGCCTGAACCCAGGAGGCGGAGGTTGTGGTGAGCCGAGATCTCGCCACTGCACTCCAGCCTGGGTAACAATAGCGAAACTCCATCTCAAAAAAAAAAGAAAACCTGCCCTTACCCAGAGCAGAAGAGTGTCCTTTCTCTAGCAGCCGTGCGGGCTGCACACTCCCAGCCTGGAGCAGCCTGCCCCTCTCAGCCAGGGTTCTGCACCCTGATCAGCACTGGGTTCCCCCAGATTAGGGGGACCGGGAGGAGGGTTAGAAGGGGCCTCTTTGCTCTCTGCCTTGTCCTGAAACTCAGTTCCAGCTCCCACTCTTGTGTGGGCCTGGCAGCCAGCTGACAACAGTTTTGTTCACCTTGTTCTGTTGGCTTTTCCTGCTTGGTTGTCACAAGCCCAGTTGGTTTTGTGGGTTCTTTGTTGGCTTTTATTTAGCCTCAGGTTTTGTGTTTGCACCCGCCTGGAGAGGGTCGTGGTAGGAGGGCCTTCCTTCCAGGTCACTGACTTCTTTTTCCAACTTCCCTTTACCTCCGGCTTCCTCCCCGCCCCAGCCTCCTTGCCTGGCTGCACGGCCCTCCCTGCTTTCACGTCCTTTCCCATAACTGGCACGTGCACAACCCTGAGTTATAAATAGCCCCAAGCCTGGCCCTGCCCTTTGCTCTCTCGTTTTCTCTCCATGGACTTGGCTGGTTTCTGAGCCATTCCTGTCTGATGCCACCAGCACTAGACTCTAGAAGACTCTAGAAGATTCTTAGTCTGAGGAGAAGTGCCCTCATCCTGTGTCTTGTCCAGCCCACCCAGTCCATGCCCTGGGCCAAATGTTCCCTGAGCAGCCCCGCCCTTCAAAACAGGGAGGGAGAGCTGGACCGTGTGCCTTCCTGCCTGCGCTGTTTTTCCTCCTGGCTCTCCAAATCATGTGGACAGAAGGAGACACAGTGCTCCTACCCACGAGGGCACCAGCATCTCACACTGGGTGGGGCCATCATGGGCCCTGCTGCCCTGGCAGCCTCCCTGGGCCCTGCAGGTCCCCTGGTACTCACAGTAGCAAGATTGTCCTCAACATGAGCAAGGCTGGGTGGGTGGGTGGCGCTGCCCAAGGGGCCTGCCATTCCCTTCACCTCTTCCCCTCTTTCGGGGCAGGGAGCAGCATCTGCACACAGTGGGAGACACCTGTACAGGCAGCCGGGGGCTGCTTTTGCCAACTCCACCATTTACAATAGGCCGAGGGGGGTTGTCATAGGCCACCCCACCCTATGTGTACGTGCACCGTGGGCAGCAGACTTGCTGCACTTCAGTAACATTTTAGTGCACTGAGCCTGCCTCTCCACACTCTCATGTGGAGACCTTCAAGGAGCCCTCATAAAAACGCTGCCAAAACTAGGACCCAGCAAGATCTTTGAGATCCGCTCATTGATTTAGTAAATGAATTTTAACTGAGCACCTAGGTGTTCTGGGCACTGTGTTAGGCAAGGAAGTTCCTAGCTCAGGCACAGCCATGGCCTGGAAGCTCCCGCCCATGGAGTCACTGCCTACCCTGCCCTGGGGGGACAAGTATGCCTGGGACATGCTTGTCCTTTTCCTGGAGCTGCTCTCAGCCCAGATCTTGATGGCTGTCCTGTCCACACATACGCTCGTGTGTGTAAATACATATATATGCACACATATACACAGGCGCCTGGGCAGGCTCACAGTTCATGTACATATTCTCACAGGTATGCACACACTTAGGAGATGCCCAGGACAAAATGGTGGCCCAGGAAGGCTTTCTAGATGGTCCCAGTGGGCAGGTGAGGCTTTGTGGTCTAAGCCCCAGGGACTCAAGTGGGGCACAGGGTAGAGCTCCCTCCCTAGCCAGTGGAGGCTCAGGGTAGGAGGACTTTTGCCTGAGACCATGGGGCAGCCCAGGCCCTAGGCCTTTCCTGTTGAACCTGCTGTCTATACCATGACTTGGCTCCCTCCTAGCGGGCCAGGGAAATAGGACAGCGGGTTGAGTGTAGGCAGGCACTGTGCTGGGACCCTGATTCCACATCCAAATTCTACAGATACCATGAGGCCTGAGCTGGGCAGTCAGATTCTTCCTCAAACCCATCAGTTTTCACTGGGGGTGATTCTGCTCCCAGGGCATACGTGGCAGCATCTGGAGACATTTGTGGCTACCACAGCTTAGGGGAGAGGGTGTTACTCACATTGGTAGGCAGAGGCCAGGGATGCTGCACTGAATTTTACAAGGCACAGGACGCCCCCCAGTCCCTGACAGAGCCCCTCCAGGACGTCAGTGGGGCTGAAGAGGAGCTTGCCCACAGCCAGTGATTTTCTCCGAAAGTGGGAAACTGAGTGATCAGGGACCACCACCCCAGTTCCACACCCGTGAGCCCAGCAACCAGTGGAGGGGTAGGTTGGGCTGTCACAGACCCCACCCCCCCACACGTGCACACTCACACTCACTCTCTGGCACTTCTCTCTGACTGCTGGTGGAGCCGGTGGGCACAGGCAGGAAGAGGGAGCACAGCCTCAGCCCAGTGGAGCACTGAGGTGTTGCCATGGGCATGGCCAGCTTCCAACGTTGCCGATAGCCAGGGAGCAGGTGGGAGTGGCCAGGAAGTCAGGTGCAGTTTCCGTGGCCTTTGGTGTCATCTTTGGTGTCACGCCTTTGCTAGGGCTGTTGTAAGTAAACATCAGAGACTGGGGAGTTTATTTTCTCATAGCTCTAGAGGCCTGAAGTCCAAGGTCAAGGGGTTGGCAGGGTTGGTTTCTTCTCAGGCCCCTCTCCTGGGCTTGTCTTCTCTGTGTCTTCACATGATGTTCCCTCCATTTGAGTCTGTGTCCTGATCTCTTCTTCTTTTACAAGTCCTGGTGGGGTGCTGTGGCTCACGCCTATAATCTCAGCACTCATGGAGGCCATGATGGAAAGATCGTTTGAGCTCAGGAGTTCAAGACCAGCCTGGGCAATGTGGCTTTTTTTTTTTTTTTTTTTTTTTGAGACACAATTTCGCTCTTATTGCTCAAGGCTGGAGCACAATGGTGTGATCTCGTCTCACTGCAACCTCCACCTCCTGGGTTGAGGGGATTCTCCTGCCTCTGCCTCCCCAGTAGCTGGGATTACAGTCACCCGCCACCACTCCTGGCTAATTTTTGTATTTTTGGTAGAGATGAGGTTTTACCATGTTGGCCAAGCTGGTGGTCTCGAACTCCTGACCTCAGGTGATCTGCCCTCCTCGGCCTCCCAAAGTGCTGGGATTACAGGCGTTAGCCACCATGCCTCCCCGCAAAAAGATTTTTTTTAAGTTAGTAGAGCATGGTGGGTGGGGGGTGCCTGTGGTTCCAGTTGCTTGGGAGGATTAGGTATAAGGATTACTTCAGCCTGGGCTCTAGAGGCTGCAGTAAGCTGTGACTGTGCCGTAGCACTCCAGCCTGAGTGACAGAGCGAGACCTCGTCTCGGAAATAAGAACCAGACATATGGAACCTTTTGGCTTTGGTTTAGCTTAATCACCTCCTTAAAGCCCTGCCTTCAGTAACATTCTAAGGTCCCGGGGGTTAAGGCTTCAACATGAATTTGGGTGGGGGGGCGGGGAGACGTGATCAAAACTCAGAAGGCAGCCTCCCGGGGCCATGGGCTCTGTCCCCTACATCAACGCCTAACAGTGTGTCAGCTCCATCTTTTGGAGACAAAACCAGTAGAGAATCCCTGAACTTTCAGCAGGGATGCTGATGGGAAGGGTACTTTGTCACAGCCCACATGTAAGAGGCTCCCTGCCAATGATGTCAGGGTCTAAAAAGCAGGGTCAGGGGACACAGGCCTTGAGCCCAGGGGACGGGAGTCTTCTGGAGTAGGTGTTAACAGTCCCCGTGGTTGGGAGGGAGGTGCTGCATAGGCCCCATCGGTCAAAGGGTCATGTGGCAGCAGCAGTCAGAGAATCCAGGTGAGGGGGCCCCATGTGAGCAGTGGGAGGAGAGCTTGGTTGCGACAGGAGCCAGGTGGCCATGCCATGGGCTCCAGCGCCCCCTCGGGTCAGATTCTCCTTCTCCTTCCTTGACCGTGTCAGGCAGCTGCTCCTGGGTTGCATGCAGAAGGCATGGAGAGAGGCCTGGCCCAGCCTGCTCCACACCACACTTTCTGTTTCGTGGTCCGGCAAGACTAAAGGTGGCTCCAGGTATTGCCCCTGGGATTCTGTGACCGCAACCATGTGGCTGAGTATGTGTTGAGGGTCCCCTGCCTCCCTTTAATTCCATGTGGAGTCTTCATGGAGGCAGGGGTTTGGCCAGAGGTCAAGAAGCTGGCCCTCCTCTCTCAGCAGAAGGCCCTAATGCAAGCATCCACCTTCCACCCTTCCGGTCTGACTTCTGTCTGTTTCTCCTGCAGAGTGAGCTGGACCTGGAAAAGGGCTTGGAGTTGAGAAAATGGGTCCTGTCTGGAATCCTGGCCAGTGAGGAGACCTACCTGAGCCACCTGGAGGCACTGCTGCTGGTGAGGAAGGTGTAGGAAGCTGAGCAGGGCGGGGCAGGGTGGGGCAGGGTGACAGAGTTGGGGAGCCTCTTTGCCCATAAGTCCCAGGTCAGCTGTCAGAGCCTGGGTGCAGCTCGCTGTCCCTGGTGTGGATACCAGTGGAAGACTGAGTTGCCAAACAAAAAAGCTGGTTTTAAAATTGTATTTGTTATGTGATTTAAAAATAAAAGTGCATATGTCAAGTAACTGTGACTGTCCACTGTCATGCCATGCACCTGACAGATGGCGGCCCCTCTCACCTGTGCCCTCTTCCAGCCCATGAAGCCTTTGAAAGCTGCTGCCACCACCTCTCAGCCCGTGCTGATGAGTCAGCAGATCGAGACCATCTTCTTCAAAGTGCCTGAGCTGTATGAGATCCACAAGGAGTTCTATGATGAGCTCTTCCCCCGCGTGCAGCAGTGGAGCCACCAGCAGCGGGTGGGCGACCTCTTCCAGAAGCTGGTGAGTGACCCAGAGCCGGTGCTGGCACTAGAGGCATGTACCACCACGCCCAGCTAATTTTTTTTATTTTTACTAGAGAGGGTTTTGCCGTGTTGGCCAGGCTGGTCTCGAACTCCCAGCCTCAAGTGATCCACCCACCTCCGCCTTCCGAACTGCTGGGATTACAGGTGTGAGCCACCTTGCCCAGCCTTTTTTAAAAAAGTTTATTTATATAGGTTTTGTTTGTTTGTTTTTTGAGACAGAATCTCCCTCTGTCACCCAGGCTGGAGTGTAGTGACGCGATCTCGGCTCACTGCAACCTCCACCTCCTGGGTTCAAGCAGTTCTCCTTCCTCAGTTTCCTGAGTAGCTAGGATTACAGGCGAGTGCCAACACACCCAACTAATTTTTGTATTTTTAGTAGAGATGGGGTTTCATCATGTTGGCCAGGCTGGTCTTGAAATCCTGACTTCCTGATCTGCCCACCTCAGCCTCCCAAAGTGCTGGGATGTGAGCCACTGTGCCCAGTCTTATGTAGGTACTTACAAAGAGACAGGGACTCACTATGTTGTCCAGACTGGAGTGCAGTGGCTATTCACAGGCACAATTCCACTGCTAATCAGCACAGGAGTTTTGACCTCCTTTGTTTCCAGTCTTGGCTGTTTCACTTCTTAGGCAAACTGGTGGTTCCCAACTCCTGGGAGGTCACCATATAGATGCCAAACTTAGTGTGTAGTGTACTACAGCCCAAAACTCCTGGCTGAAGCCATCCTCCAGCCTCAGCCTTCAGTGTAGCTGGGACCACAGGTACACACACCACCACATGCTGTGTGCACACACTACCTGAAGCAGGCTTCCTCCACAGGGAAACAAGTCCTCTAAGGGCAGATGTGGGCTGAGGCCAGGCCCCCTCTAAGTGTGAAGAGCATGTGATTCCTTATAAGCCCTGTCCCCAGCACTCCTGGACTACCCAGACACTCAGCTGTGGCCTCAGGCTTCTCCTTGGCTGGTGCTGGGGACTGAGTTTTCTGCTCTAAGGTGTGGCTTTCCTGTAGGCAGACCCCTCCCTCTGCCACCCTGTGCTGCAGACACCCCCCCACCCCGCACCCCCAGACTCCAGGCCAGAGCTAAGACTTGAGAAACACACAAGGCACTTACTTTGTTCCAGTTCTTGCTGCTTGGGGCTCTTTCCCCTACGGCCAGAGAGCAGGAGGCTGTATTTTGATGCATGCTGCCCGCTCCGTCTTTGAAGCCCCCCATTTCTCCCTGTGTGTGTCAGCAGTTTTAAAAGTAGTGGACATAACTTGGCCTTCTACCCTCCTGAGAAAGGAAGAATTGTGGTATTGGGGGAAGAAAAACATCCAGAGCTCTTCCTGAATAATATTCGAAATTGTTCAGAGACTTTTAAAAAATGTTAATATCTGATGAACACTGGAATTTAACTTTGGAAAGTTTCTGCCGGCTTCCCTGAGGCCTTGAGCTCCGTAGCCTTCATGTGGCAGATGACGCAGCTGGAAGACTCAGGGGAGAGGCTGGGGCTGCAGTGGGAAGTTGCTCCCCATAACTACAAGCTCAGTACTCACATGTGCCCAACCTGGGCTGGGTGTTGGGGCCTCTGCAAGAACAGATAAGCCGGGTGCCTGCCCTTGTCCCTGCAGACCAGCTCAGTAGGGTTGGCCCAGCACTGCTCCGTCAGGCTTCCTGGTTGGACAAGTCTTAGGACCAAAGGAGCTCACAGTGCCCTGCCCAGCTCCAGTGCCGCCTCCAAGCCCAGGAACTCATGATCCACGTCCAGTGGTTCAGAAAGCCAGGCCCAGATGCGGCTTCTGCCCCCTCCTCCGTGGGGCTGCACGGGCTGACTTCCCCACTCCGGATTTTGTTTCTGGCTGCAGTTTTATCAACTCAGAATGTTTATTTTTCTAATTATTTCAGGCTTACAGGAGAGTTCCAAGAACGGGACAAAGTATGGCCTTCACCCAGATACACTGATGTAACTTTTTGCCACATTTGCTTTATGTCTTTTTGTGCACACACAAACACACATGCACACATACGCAGAAGCACAGGATTTTTTTTCCCCTCTGAATACTTCATTGTTTATTTGCTGTGAACAAGGACATTCTCTTCTGTAACCCACAGTACAATTTGTTAAATTCGGGAATTTTCACACTGATGAGCTACTATTATTTAATATATAGTTACACATTTCCTCCAAAGTAACAGTCGCGTTCTTCACAGCTCTTTTCATTCTCTGATTCGGGTCCCGGTTTAAGATCATGTTATGAACTTGGTTGTCACCTCTCTTTAGTCTCCTTCCATCTGTACCAGTTCCTTAGACTTTGCTTGTCTTCTGTGACCTTGACTTTGTTTTTTTTGGAGGTGGAGTCTCACTCTATCACCCAGGCTGGAGTGCAGTGGCATGATCTCGGCTCACTGCAGCCTCTGCCTCCTGGATTCAAGCAATTCTCCTGCCTCAGCCTCCCACATAGCTGGGATTACAGGTGCACGCCTCCACACCTGGCTAATTTTTGTATTTTCAGTAGAGACGAGATTTCACTATGTTGACCAGGCTGGTCTCACACTCCTGACCTCAAGTGATCTGCCTGCCTCAGCATTCCCCAAAGTGCTAGGATTATACAGTGTAAGCTGCTCTTCCCAGCTGACCTTGACATTTCTTGAAGGACACAGACCCGCTCAGGTTTGCCAGTTTCCTGAGCTTCATGTTCTGCACGATAGCACCACAGCATCGAGGCCGTGTGCTTAGTGCATCAGATCCGGAGGTGTGTTTTTGATTAGTGAAAAATGTGGAAAGGAATTGCTTAGAACTTCTCACAAGCCACCTGGAAGATGTGAGCTCCTGGAGCAGGAGGGAGGAGAAGTCCTGAAAGGAGTCCTCCTCCCAAGACCCCTGAGACCCTGCCCAGCTGTCACCTCTTCTGAGAGGCTGTCCCTGGCCCTGACCACATTTTCCAAAGCAGCCCCATTGCTCTTGGTCCCCATCCTGGTTGTAACCATCTGCCATCACATGACCCGGGTCTGTTCACGCATGTGTTTATCAGGTGCTCTCCTGTTAGAACACCAGCTTCAGAGGGCAGTGACTCGTCTGAATTATTCACCACTGTGGTGACAAGGCCTAAAGCCGGCCCTTAGTTTGGTGGGGAGATACTCGGTGACTTGCAGAGGAGGAAGGAGGGAAAGGAAGAGCTCTGGGCCTCATCACTGCACTGACAAGGAAGAACCTAGAATTGGAGGATACAAGGTCTCCTCAGGGTGGCAGGGGCTGGTGGGTGTCTTCCGCCTGCAACCCTTTCCTTGTACGCTCTAAGACCCTTCGCACAGCCCCCATAGAAAGCAGGGCCAGAAGATCAGATAATACCAAGGGTGCCTGGTTTATCCAGCATCCGGAATTGTTATCTGCAGAAACATAAAATTCAATATAAATGCAAATGCATGTGGAAATAAAATTAGGTTTGATGCAAAACAAACGCCAGGAGCCGTGAATGCCTCGGGCTTCTAGTTTGCAATCAGCTGCAGGGGGAGTCTCCAGCCCTGACCAGTGAATCTCCTGGGTCTGCCCTTCCACTCCCCAGGCCTGGGTTTGCTGGTTTTCCCTCGCTGCCCCTAAAGCTGTTGTGAGGCCCAGAGATGGCTGTGTCTGCTGCACTCACACATAGGGGAAGTTGTTGCCGAATCAAGTGTGTTTCTGAGCTGGAGGTGCAGGAAGGAGATCTGTTATAGCCTTTGGTTTAATAGAGAACAAACAAAACACCTCTCACCTTACAGCCAGTCAGTCTCTCCCCTGCCAGGTGTGCAGCATGACACTGGGGCACCCTCACCAGGCCCAGGAGGGCTCGTGTCTGTGTAGCAGGAGGCTCTCTTCTGCAGAGGCAGCTGGACTCTGTGTGTCTTATGTGTCTGAAGGGACTGGACAGGAGTGGACACTGTGGGTGGGATGGGGGGGTGATCTCCGTGTCCAGGATACACTCCTGCAGCCAGAATGAGAAGATGCTGCATGCAGACACTTGTCCAGATTCACTGACAGCCTCGAACTCTAGCTGCCACTCGTGGCACCATTTCAGCGAGTGGGGTGGGAGGAATAAGTAGCTCTGGAAGGGAACTGTTACCTGCCTGGCGTCGTGAGTCACTTCTCAGCATGTCATTTTGGGAGCCGGAAGTGTGCTGGGTGCGTGGGGAGGGGAGCAGGTGGGAGGGAACAGCACGGAAGATCCGAGGCCCCTGGAGTTCCTGATGAGCTGTTGGAGGGAGCCCGCTCCTCGGAAAGGCGGGGGAGCTGCAGCACCTGTCGACTCTCTCTTCTTCCCTGCAGGCCAGCCAGCTGGGTGTGTACCGGGCCTTCGTGGACAACTACGGAGTTGCCATGGAAATGGCCGAGAAGTGCTGTCAGGCCAATGTTCAGTTTGCAGAAATCTCTGAGGTAATGCCTTGATGCCATTCAGCCAGGCGTGCCCTGACTCCCACCTGTACCCTCCACCTCCCCAGGAGAACAGAGGACACCAGATCAAGATCTGGTCATGAACCCCAGCTGTTGACAGATTCTGCCGGGTTTGCTGCCCCATGCTGGGGATGCTGTTGTGCCCAGACAGGTGGAGCGGCTGACAGGATGTCCTGCCTCCCCAGAGGCTAGGGCCTGATTCTGGGGGTTGGCCGGGTTCTGGGGACACTCTTTGCACCGTGTGCAGTGAGGAGTATCTATAATTCTGCCCGTTAACAGCTCTCACCACAAGAGTCCTGAGGCTGACTTTGTACCTGGCACTGGAGGGGCAGCTGGACGGGCCAGTCTTCCTTTTCCAGCCCATCAGAGACCATGAGAGCGGGAAGCATTGAGGGGCTATTGCCGCGGGGCAAGGGCTCATGTCACCCGTGCTCTCTAGACCCATGTGAGGAGCAAAGCAGCAGGTTGGAGCTGCACTGCCTGCCTCAGGCCCCACGTTTGAGAGGCTACTGACTCCCTGCCTGCGTTTAGCCCCAGGAAGCTGAAACCTCAAACCATGCAGTGTTAGCACCCTGGGCCTCAAAAGAGTCATTCAGAAACAGAGACCATGAATGGGCTATTCAGGAGGCTGGTGGCCAAGCCAGGACCAGAACCCAGCCACATCCCTGGGTCTGCACTCTCCAGACTGGGGTTCTTCCTGCCCTTCCCCACCCTGTGTCTGCCTGGTGGTCACTCTGCGACATTTTCCTCTTCAGGGGCCTTTGCCTCTTGATGATCCCACCAACTCGCTGTAGCTTTGCCTTCTGACTTGGCTTTCCCCCACCCAGCAAGGGTTATGAGCAGAAAGTAGGGGTTCTGCATTCATGCCCTACTTTTAGTGCCCATGTCTCTTTCTAACCCTGCAGTTCTAGCATAGAGCACAATTGGAGAACCACAGGGCTAGAAAGAGACATGGGCACTAGAAGTAGGGAATGAATGCAGTCACCCTTGCTGAGACACACCCTCAGCTGTCACCCCTGGGCTTTTGCCATCGTACTGTTCATCACAGGACGGCGCATCATGGTCCCCACTCTGATGTTTCCAGTAGTAGCAGTACCTGCCACCCTGTTCCTCCAGAGCCCGTGGGGCGCCCCGCTCCACCGGGTGCTGCTGGTAACAGGCTCTGTATGCATCCGGGGCGCCAGCTTCCCTCCCTGCTGCCAGACTCCCTCTGGACCATTCAATCTGTTCTCTCTTCCTTTTTCTTTAAATGAGCAACTGTCCTCCCCAGCAGCTGGAATGGTGACACCGAATTTCAAGTGTGACCTTGACAAATCAGGGACCTGAGCTTTTAAGAGCAAGTTATAGTTAGACGGGCAAGTTCAAGTCCACCTGGACAGGTTTCTGCAGAGGAGGGAGGAGACACCATGGGACGCCACCTGGGGATCACGTGGTCTCACCAGCTATGTACCAGTGGATTCTGAGCTGTGGCTGGGATGCAGGAAGCGGGATGGGGCTCAGGGTCAGCCACAAGCCAGCCCACTGTGAAGGTTTGTGGCACTTGCATCGTCACAGTGACATGCACTTTGGTTGTCTGTGTTTCAGAAAAGATCCAGAGAAATTGGAGTCACCCAGAGAGAGCAGAGTCAAACTCAAGGAAGAGAAAGTAGCAAGCCCTATGGAAGTGGGAGGGGGTCAGTGCTCAGGCATGGGACTTTGACGATCACCTTCTAGTATAGGAAGGAGTGGAATAGTGTCCATCTTCTCCTGGGACAGTCCTGAGAGATGGGCAGCATCCAGTTAGATCTGGTTTCATGGAACGCCAGCTCTCCAGACAGTAGGTAATAGGAATTATATGAAAAGGGCTTTGGGAGTCAGGCCGGTTTGGGAGATGCAGGGTTAAGCCAAGCTCACATGTTTTCTTTTCTTTTTTTTTTTTAAGATGGGGTTTCACCATGATGGCTAGGCTGGTCTTGAACTCCTGACCTCAGGTGATCCACCCACCTCGGCCTTCCAGAGTGCTAGGATTATAGGCGTGAGCCACCGTGCCCGGCCAACTCATACATTTTCTTGAGGCAGGTGTTCCCAGAACTTGCGGATAACTCCCAAGCATCGCACTTTCCAAGGCACGTGGGCCGCCTCCCAGGCTCATGTGAGCCCAGCACCTGGTTTTTGCAGTCTTTGGTAACTGCCGAGTCAGATGTACAGAGGAACAATCACTGCGAGGGCTGTTAAACTCTCAGGAAAGGTACCAAAGCGCATGGCAGCCTTTGGCCCCAGCGAGCTGGAAAAGACTTTCTTTTTGGTCTTGAGATGTTTTCTACAGCACAAGAGGTTGGCAGAGTAACCTCAGAATCTATTCCGTCTCTGCGGCTTATGCCTTTGTTCAGAAGCTTAGTACCAGGAATTAATCTCAGCTCCTTCCCAGCGGATCTGAGGCACACAGGGATCTTTTATACCGAATTTCTCCAGTGATGCGTTCAATGCACTTGTATCAAAACATGCTAGGCTCTTCACTTACAAGACCTGCTCTTGCCCTGGAAATCTCATTAGCACCTCATTTTTTTAGCAAGTACACTTGCAAATCCAGAGAGGGTGGGTAGAGGGAGAATCCCGTGTCCGTCTGCAGTGGTGGGCCTGCCCTGGCCGTCTCCAAAGGCGACTGCTCTTCCGAACTGCCAGCCCCCTGCATGCCATCTAATTGCCCCAAGAAAACAGTGATGTGTGTTTAGGAGCGGGCTCCTGTTGGCCTCCATTTGCCAGATTCTCTGTGAAAGAGGTTCTCAGCCAGGCGTGATTTCGTTCACAGGGGACAGACACTTGGCAATGCCTGGAGAAGCTTTTGGTTGTCACAACAGTGGGAAGGCAGGCGCGCTCCTGTGCCTATAGGTAGAGGCCAGGGCAGCCGCTTAGCACCCTACGGTGCACAGGACAGCTGCTCAGAGAATCTCCAGCCCAAAATGTCAACAGTCCTTGGCTGAGAAGGCCTGTCCCAGGTGGACCGTGGCCTCCAGGGCATCCTGCGTGCTCAGCTTGCCCGTGGGTCCCTGCACACCCTGTGATTTCATTATCAGCTCAGAATGCGCCTGGGTTCATTGCAGTGAGGGAAAGCCGAGATTGCTGCCAAAGGTGGAACTTTCTGCCGCATCGAAGCTGCTTCTATCATCTCTGTGAACATGCGCTTTTCTCCCTGCAGAACCTGAGAGCCAGAAGCAACAAAGATGCCAAGGATCCTACGACCAAGAACTCTCTGGAAAGTGAGTTCTGCTGGAGCCTCTGTGTGCCCTCGTGGGGGTGCTGCTGCCCTTAGAGGTGGCGTGTGGAAAAGCAGACACAGTGCCCACTTGGGTCACCCCTTGGTGCCTTCCCTGTTCTACTCTTCAAAGAGGGTGGGACAGGGAAAGAACAGCTCAGGGAGGGCAGGGAAGGACACGGTCAGAACCAGTTTGCAACAACAGTAGCAACAAGGTGCTGCTTAAACTGACTTAAATGTCATCATGTTGTCCCCAGTGGCCTTGTAAGGAGGACTTTTTTTTTTTTTTGAATTGGACTTTTGCTCTTGTGGCCCAGGCTGGAGTGCAGTGGCAGGATCTCAGTTCACTGCAACCTCCACCTCCAGGTTCAAGTGACTCTCCTGCCTCAGCTTCTCTAGCTGGGATTACAGGCGTATGCCACCACACCCAGCTAATTTTTGTGTTTTTAATAGAGAGAGGGTTTTTCTATATTATTCGGGCTGGTCTTGAACTCCTGACCTCAAGTGATCAGCCTGCCTTGACCTCCCAAAGTGCTGGGATTACAGGCGTGAGCTACTGCACCCGGCTGTAAAGACGATTTATTTTCGGTTTTTGCCAATGACAAGTTTAGTCTTGAAGTAAGCTGTGCAGAGCACAGGTTCTAAGTGGCTGGACGGGGATTGAGTCCAGAGTTGCTGGGAAAGTGGTATCAGGAATTATCAGTCAGTTCTTTCTTTCAGTTGTTAGGGTGTTGTAAATAGTTACAATTGCAAAGAATAAGCCCCCGCAGCTTTGTTCTCAGAGCCTCAGTTTCCCCGTCTGCAAAATGAAAGTAGCAATATGTGCCTTACGCTGGTCGTGGGAGTCTCATGAGGAAACATACCTCACATGTCTCAGAACACACCTAAGCGTCCATGCCTGGGATGGGCCACGCTCACTGTCATCACGGAGAAGTACAGGCGGCTGAGGTTGGCCAGGGGGCTGCTCCCATTGCAGTGGGGCTCGTGTGCCTCTGGGGTCCAGGTGTCCTCAGGCAGGTCACCAGAGAACCTGTCAAACCAAGAGTTGTTTTGGCATCTGAGTAGGTTCCTGCCTGTCTCCGAGTCAGACATCTGAAACATCCCGGGATTGATGGTAAGGGCAACCAGGAGGTCTGCTCTCAGTGTACCCTTGGGCTGGAGAGCAGGTCTCCCTCCAGAGTTGGGGTCTTCCCTAGCCCCTCCTTGCCAGGGTGGGCTCCCTGACCCCAGGAGTGGCAAAGCTGAGCCTTTTTAGCTGTTGTCACTGAGCCAGCTGTGCAGGCCCGGGTCTGATGAGCTGCTCTGGACTCCACATGCAATGAATGTCCAGGGCTTAAAGCTCAGAGTGTTCCAGGTGGGTGCTGTAGCCTTGCCCTTGTCACTGCGCAGAGGGGAGATGGGGCCTGTGGAGGCTGGGGCAGCCCCCTCCCCACTCACCCTTGCACTGAGGGTGTTCAGGCAGCTGGTGTGCGTCTCCACATGTGGCCTCTCTCATCACTCCTCTCTCTCCACAGCTCTACTCTACAAGCCTGTGGACCGTGTGACAAGGAGCACACTGGTCCTCCATGTGAGTCATAGCACCCCTCCTGACTGGGACCAAAACTGCCCCCTAGGGCACATGCAGCACCAGTGCTCTGTGGGGCACATGCAGCACCAGTGCTCTGTGGGGCACATGCAGCACCAGGGCTCTGTGGGGCACATGCAGCACCAGGGCTCTGTGGGGCACACGCAGCACCAGTGTTCCGTGGCATTTCTTTTGGTTGTCATAGCTGCAGCCGAGGGGGCGCTGTTGGCATCTAATGGGTAGAGGCCTGGGGTGGTGTTGGACATTCTGTAGTGCAAGGGACAGCTCTCTCTTGCCCCCCAACAAAGAATTACTCCACGCAAAATGTCAGTAGTGCTGAGGTCGAGAAACCCTACCCTAGAGCCTTACAGAGGAGCCCCTCTTGGCCGTGTGCATGCGGCTGGGTTTGCTGGAGCACATCCAGAACCTGCTTCCGGGATGTTGCTCACACAAGTGTGGCCCAGGGGAGAGATGCCCGCACAGCCCGGCCCAAGTGAGAGAGGCAGTGGTGACACGACACAGTGATGACACCGAGGCAGTGGTGACACGACACAGTGATGACACCGAGGCAGTGGTGACAGGAGGCAGTGGTGACAGCGAGGGAGCCAGCACTCTGGGCTTTGTCTGCACCTCGTGTCTGCACTTTGCACACAGTGGCAGGTGCCAGGGCCCCCTGTGTCTAACTCGTCTGTCTTCCCCGGGCAGGACTTGCTGAAGCACACTCCCACCAGCCACCCCGACCACCCCTTGCTGCAGGACGCCCTGCGCATCTCACAGAACTTCCTATCCGGCATCAACGAGATCACACCCCGACGGCAGTCCATGACGGTGAAGAAGGGGGAGGTGAGTGTGGCGGGGATGGCTTGGGTTTGCCCAGCCTGCTAAGCTGGGGCAGGCAGGGCACCCTCAATCTGAGGCCTAGAGCCCCTCCTGGTCCTCAGCAGACCTTGCCTTTTGGGATTGGCGAGCTTGGCAGCACACCCAGTCCTGTGTGGAAGGCGTCGGGGTGCAGTTGCAGGGGTGACTCCGCACGCACCACGCCCTCCTAGGCGGCGTCCGTCACCGTGCCTTACTCAGCCACCTCTTTCCTTCTCTGTCATGGTGGGTTATGTCCAGGGAACCCTTTTTTATCTCCCACACTCTCGCCAGTTCAGGGTCCCCAGCCAAGGAGACCTGTGCAAAGGCGGTGAGTAGGAGGGTGGCATTTTGTCTGCCTGGAATCCTCCTACTTCCTCCTGAGTGCTTTCATTAAAAAACAGTTAAGATCGGATTTAAGGATTTGAGAGTGGGAAGAAAGTGGGGGTTCACAATTTGTGTCTGTGGCGTGAGACTTCACGTCTTCCTCCTGGAAGGCACTCCTTCCCCGGCACTGACGTACTTTGCGTGCACATGAAGGCGCTCCTTCTCCCCGGCACTGACTTACTTTGCGTGCACATGATGGCGCTCCTTCACCCCGTCACTGACGTACTCTGTGTGCATGTCATCAATGGGCAGGCATGGCCTGTGTCTGTGCCGGTCTGAGCCTTCCAGGGTGGGGCCTGGCACATAGCAAGGCAGGTGCTTTCCCAGGCGGGCAGCAGCTACTGCGAACAGCTGAGGCGTGCAAGCCGGGCAGCCAGTGTCCAGTGGGAACAGCTTTTGTCAGAGGCAGCACTAAGGCAAGGGGAGCTGACCCATGGCCTAAGGGGTCTCATGCAGGGACAGGAATTGTAGTTGCCTCTGAGAACCACCTCCTCCTTTTTCTTCTGGTTTATGTGCCAGGTGGTTGGCAGTGTGCCAAGGACACAAGCCCTGTCCTCAGGGTACCGCCAGGACAGACCTGCCCAGCACGTGGGGTTTTTTTCCTTTTCCTGCCCTGAGCCATCAGGCAGGCAGCTTTCAGCCTCGTCCACCACACACTTCTTTGGGAATGGTACCCTGAGTGCCCTGAGTCTTGACCTTGAGTGTGGGGCTTGGGCAAGTTTCTCCTGGTGGGCCTGGCCCAAGAAGGGCATGGAGAAGGAGGGAACTGTCCTCTCCATTCCACTATCCAGGCTTGTCCCAGCCCTGGAGCTGGGCAGACGCAGGGTCCATGCCAGCATCATGAGCACCGACCCACTGGGTGGCCTAGAGCTTCTCCCAACTGGGCCCATTCCTCGTCTTTGCAGCGGGATGGGAACATGGCCCCACCTCATTGGGCACCTGGGCTCTCAAATGGACATGCTTTAGCGGCAGTCCTGGCCATCCGTGATGGCTCCTTTGCAGTCTGAGCTCATTGAAGGCAGAAGTGGGTCCCTGGCACCTTCCAGGGGAGGTGTTGAGCAGTGCAGGTGTTCCCCAGCTGATCAGCCCATGACTGGGGCCTGGGAGAGGTGGGGATCAGATCTTGCTTCTTGAAGCATCAGGGGCCTTGAACCAGGGGCCCTGCCCCTGGTTCTCTTCTCTGGCTCAGGGCCACAGAAGTAGAGCAAGCCTATGACAAACCTGTGGGCAGCCACATAGATCTAAGTGGATGTTGGATTTGCTTCTCCTGAGCCTCCATATGCTGGGTGGCTTCCTGCCGGGCTTGCTTTTCCCTCCTGAGACACCTGCTCTTTCCCTTCTACTGACATTCTTCTATGAGCACTCTGACCTCCTGGGAGGCGAGTGTGGGATCCTTTTTCCCATGGCTTCTCCTGTGCCGAGTCTGCTCCCTGCATCTCCAGCTGCCATTTATCATTTCTAGAGAGAAGGAAAGACCTTCTCACCACTCAGATCATTGGAATCCACTGCCTTGGGGAATTGAGGAAAATGGTGATGTTGCCTAGAAGTTGGCAGCCAGGCCCTTATTCCTGCATCGGTCCCCATTGCGGCCTCCTTCCACGATGACTCATGGCCAGGTCTCAGGACCACCAAGGAGGAAGTATAATTTAAGAAGGGCTGGGAGCTTCACAAAGGGAGGGGCCTGGATCCTCATCCTCGCCAGCACCTCGCCCTGGTGGAGGGGCATTTGCTCATTGAGGAGGTGTCTCCTGGGTGCCTCAACTGCAAAGCAAGGTGGAGGACTAATGACGCTAGGAAACATCACTGTGAGTCTGACCAGCACCCCCTTGTTCAGGGCTTTCTATCTGAGGCCCGTCAAGGGAGGTGACTTGACGGTGGCTAAGCCAGGATGATAGACAGATGCCTTGCTGTGCCCCGCCCTTGCCATTCCTGAGGCAGATGCTGCTAATCAGTTGGCCACTCCAAGCCTGGACGTCCTTCTCAGTATCCCCTGGCACTGCCCAGCGAGTTTGCAGTCCTTTATGCAGAAAGAAGGATGCCAGATGGGCAAAGCCCTGCCAGGTTCCTCTCTCTTACTGCTTACCAGTGTACTGATTTGAGGACACCCTTTTGCTTCCCTGGGTGTTCCTGCTCTCTGAGGGCAAGGATGCATGGTCCATGGCCCCTCCACTGGGTGTTGAGACTGAACAGGTTTCACAGCCTTTGAGGGACTTCATGAAAGTCAGGGGTGGTGACCTGTGTGCATGGTGCCATCTGTGTCAGAGGTGACAGGAGAGCTCCCCTGACGTCACCAGCCAGGAGAGAGGGGCAGGAGCTGCAGGCTGCTTCCTCTTAGAATTTGCAGCCAGGGCGGGGCCTGGGCCTTTCTCTTCTGCACATCTCTCATTTTGGTACATGACACGGAGTGTCAAGTCCCCAAAGGGAGAAAGAAACTGTGCCTCTTGAGTTCTCATGACAACTCTGGGGTCAGAGGCGATCTCCCATTTACAGATGAGGAAACTGCGACTCAGAGAGGTTGAATGTCTTGCCCACAGTCACACAGCCACTAAGTAGCTAAGCCAGGATGCAAGTGAGGCCAGGGGTCCCCTGTGTGCACCTCGGGTGTGTTACTCTTTGCTTCCCTTCCTCCTTTGTGAGCCGATAGGACATGTTCACCCCTCCTCTTGTCCCTGCAATACCTGGAGGTAGGAAGAGTCACAAGGAGGAGGAGATGTCCCTTTCAGCTCTGCACGCCACCCCATTCCCTGCCGCTCCTGCTGGGAGTGTGTCAAGGGGGTGGAGCTGTTTCTGGCTTCCGTGGCATTTGGTGTCAAGAAGAAAGCTGCCTCTGTCGGTCTGGGTCACTGCTGGGCCTCCTGGGAGGTGGCCCATTGCTCCTTGCTCAGCCTGGGCAAGTCTGACATCAAGGAGAGGCACAGGTGTGAGCCCTGTTCAGGGTCAGCTGCCCCAGCCCCCACTGTGGCTCCTGTAATCTCATCACCCTTTTCAGCTACATCCCATGGCTCTAGGGCAGTGTTCTTTGGGGAAGAGTGACTTTGGGCTGCATTCCTGGTGGCCCTCTGATGCTGAATGATGGCTGGCAGGTGCCCCATCTTCCCAGTGTCCTGGCCCAAGCACATCTGGGGGCCATGAGCCGCAGGTGCTGCCCAGGAGAATGCCCTCCTCAGCCTCCCCAAAATAACTGGATCAAAGGATCCTACAGGCACTGTTTCTTCCAGGCCTGGGTTCTGAGGGCTGGTGGGTGGCGCTCATTTGTTTAGCTGAATTAACTTCACAGTTAGATAACCGATCCTCACTGCTGGCTGACTCCCCATGTGGTTGCCTGTCCGTCTTTTTGGAGCCTTGCACCATGTGCTGCTCAGCACCCCCTCGGCTCAGGTTCAGAAGCATAGTGGATGATCCATTTGGGATGTTGTCTTTCCCAAGAGCCAGCCAGGCACTGACCTCCAATACCCGTTCTCTGCCTGGGATCCCAGAGGCCCCTCCGTAGGAAGAACACAGGCAGCAGTCCAAACGGGAGCTGCAAGAAGGCTCTGGAGCAGGAAGGCACCACCAGTGCAGGCTGGAGGCTGAGAGGTGGTGAGGCTCAGGTAGAGGAGAACCAAGGTCTTTTAATCAGTTGATGATTAATGAGTTGGAGAACAGGCTAGGCGTGGTGGCTCGCACCTGTGATCCCAGCACTTTCGGAGGCCAAGGCGGGTGGATCACTTGAGGTCAGAAGTTGGAGACCAGCCTGGCCAACATGGTGAAACCCTGTCTCCACTAAAAATACAAAAATTAACCTGTCATGGTGGCACACGCCTGTAATCCCAGCTACTCAGGAGGCTGAGGCAGGAGAATTGCTTGAACCTGGGTGGCAGAGGTTGCAGTGAGCAGAGATCGTTGCACTCTGCACTGTAGCCTGGGCAACAGAATGAAACTCCGTCTCAAAAAATAAAAAAATAAACAGCTGGAGAACAGTTGGAGAGGCCAGACCCTGTTGGCATAGTTTGCAAGGGGTGCTATGGAGAGGATGGTGCCCAGCCCAGGGGTGAAGACAGGGTGGGTGGGGTTCTCAGCTCCGCTGGACACCAGACAGAAGCTGCAGGGGCGAGGCTGGTGCCCACGTCGAGGGCTAGGCCTTTCTGGGCCCTTCATAAACATTTGCAAACAAAGCTTGGGTTCTCAGCTTGTCTGGGCCAAGGACTAATTCCTTCCTGGAGTGTGGGCATGTTGCTTACCTCTGAGCTGTTCCTTTTCCAGGAAGTGGTGGAGCCGGAGCCTGCTGCATGGGAGGGTTCTGTGGAGTGAGAGATGTTTTACGTCACGCTCTTTTCACACCTTCTTGGCACCCAGAAAGAGCTCAGCAAACATTAGCTGCCACCAGCCACCCTGACTGTGGCTCTCAGCTGGCATTGTTCTTCCCAGGCCCCACCCTACCCTTCTTCTGGCACGGTGTCGCTTGGGGCATAGGAAACTCTGGGCCAGCTTGGCCATGGGAGGCTTTCTTGGGGACCAGAGAGTAGAGATTTGCTCTGCAAGGAGGGCAGGTCGAGAGCAGGTGAGAGGGAGGGAAGGGCGAGCAGGACCCTTGGCCTCACTCTTGGCTGCAGTGTGTATTGGGCTGCCAGGTGACCCTCGTTGCTCCTGGTCCCACTGCCGAACCAATGGAGCCTGCTACATCCCTGCGTAGATAGGGCCACTGACAGGCCGTGTCAGCCAGCTCTCCAGGGATGCCCACTTTGCTCTGGGGACACGGTAGCGAGGGCTGAGGCCACCAGCCTCCTCCAGGGCCCCCCCACCTCCTTCAGGGCCCCCCACCAGCCAGCAGCTGACAGCTCCCCCTTGGTCTTCACCTGGGCCCTGTTCTGCCTCCACTTCCTTAGCTGCTGCGTGGGGTTCTTTGGCAACTTTTCCTGGTCCCACCAGTCAAGGCACTGCTGATTTGTTGATGATCAAACTGCAGTTCTTGTACTTGGGGCAGTGTTCCAGCATCTCCATGGAACCGTGGTCTCTGGTTCCTGTGGCATGTTGTAGTCGGTTTGAGCTGCTTTGTTAAGTACAGACTTCTGGGAGGCCCACACACAGACCTTTACCTCTCACAGTTCTGGAGCCTGGAGATCCAGGGCCAGGGTGCCAGCACGGTCAGATTCTGATGAGGACAGCGAGAAGCACGGCCGCCCTCCCATTGTGCCCTCACATGGCCTGCCTGGGAGTGGACATGGAGAGAGAAAAGGACCTCTCTTTCTTCCTCTTCTAATCCCATTACATGGGTTCCACCCTCATGACCTCATCTGCTCCTCCTTACCTCTCAAAGTCCCCACCTCCAGATACCATCCCACAGGAGTTAGGACATCAGTTAGGGCGGGCAGAAATTTTCAGCCCTAACAGTGTGCTTCTTCCAGGCTGGCTTTCCCAGGAAGGCCCTGGATAGGCTGTACCCTGGGAGGCGGGTGATGCTGCACTGGCGACAGCTGGAGGAGGTGGCTGGCCAGAGGGATGTCCCCATAGGAAGGAGGTACCCCTCCTCATGCCTACCAGCATGACGCGACCCCCTCCTCAGAAGACAGAGGGCACACATGTGACCTCACAGGGCCTCAGTTTCCTTGTCTGTAGAAATGGAGGTGATGGTGTCTGCCTTGTAGAGTCCTCGTGAGGAGTGAGTGCTGTGATTCACGGGAAGCTGTGACTCACGCTCCCACCTGCAGAGGGCATGGCAAAGGGTGACGGCCCCGCGTGAGGCCCTGCAGGTCACAGTTTCATTTAATCCTCAGAACATGCCACCAGACCAGTCTTTCTCACCCCATCATGTTTAAGGAAACAGAGGCTCCAAGAAATGGAGGAGTATAGCCAACATCATCGTCACAGAGAAGGGTGGGCTCAGAAGGATGGGCTTGGGATAGTGAAGGTGCAGGCTGCCCTTGCTTTCTGGGGGCTCCTGGGGGGATGATGATTTCAATTGTTCAAGAAGGCAGTTGGCATTTCTTCCAGCTGATGTTACCCACCTGGGATGGGGGGGGCTCCACAAAGGAAGTGTTGCCCTGCCAGTGGGGGGCCTGCTCTCCCACTGCCCCGCCCTGCAGCACACACGGGGATGACACCCACACAGGGTTACTTGCACCAGGACACACACAGGCCTGACACACAGGGACATGCCCTCGCATGGGAACACACACAGAAACATGGAGACGCACACAGTGACACACGGACACACACACCTCCCCAGGCCACAGGCCCGTGTGGGGTTCCACACACAAGGACACACTCAGGCACTCACACGAGAGTGAATACACCCGGAGACGTGGAGATGCACACAGGGGCACACAGAGACGCAGATGCAGAACACATGGGATCTTCCAATGCGCCCTTTTCACACACAGGCTCCCGCAGCCCGGCAAGCCAGCTCTCCAAACCGTGGTGCTGTCCCAGGTCCCATTGAGGCCCCGGCCCTCTCTGTCCCCCCGCTCCAGCTGGGGGTGTTTGCCCTGGAGAGACACTGAGCCGTAGGGACAGTGGTTTCCAGCCACATGGCCTTATGCTGGCTTTGAGATGCAGTCAGGACCGTGGCCCCGGCCCACCCTTGCCATGTGCCCTGGAGGATGAGTCCGGTGGACTGTGCGGGGAAGCCTGGGCTGATTTCAAGGCTGAGCATCCTGTACTCTGAGCCGGGTACCAGGCTGCTGAGCACTTCTGAGAGGGACGTCTCCTGGGCAGGCAGTGACCTACACCACATGGCCTCCCAGCTCCGTGCTGGTGTTGTGTGGACTGGGAGGACAGGGACTGGGTGATGGGGACTGCAGAGCAGGGCCTGAGGTGCTGCGACATGCTGGGGTGCCTATGGATTAGGGTTACTCTCAGAGGAGAGCTGCATGGGTGGGTGAGGGTTTGGAGGCTGTGGTGACATCAAAAGAGTAGCCCAGAATCATCTGAGTTCTCTGTCCAAGCCTCCCAGGCCTGCAGTCCACACCCAGAGGGGCCACGTCCTCCCCACAGCCAGGCCTGGTCCTCTCAGTGTGGCAGGCCGGCATGTGGGTGCTACAGTCGTCCAGTGTGACACTCGGTGGCCTTGCTGAAGCCCGAAGGTGCCCCTGAGGTGGGCTGTGGGAAACCTCTGCTGGAGAGGCAGCTGCATTTCTGGCACACAAGGCAGAGTGGGCCGGGTCTGCGGCTTCTGAGCTGAGCATGGGGTGCCCACTGCTACTGATGGTGAGAATCTCAGCGCCTTTGTATGGAGAAGGCTGCTGGCCATCCAGCCCCATCAGTGCCCCACAAGGAAGGTGCCTGACCCTCCTCCTTGGCAGGGAGGCCCTTTCTTGTGTCCCTGCCAAGCAGACATCCTGTAGTCCTTCTCTAAGAACCTCAGTGCCCTAGGATCCTACCCAGACCTGGTCCCCGCTGCAGACCCAGCAGTGGGGATTACCCGGCTTCAGCGCTCCAGCTCTGCCTGACATTTCTCCAGGGGCACATGCTGTTTCTTGCTTCCTGTGGGTGCCGTCACCAGGCAGCCATCTGCCCTCGGCAGGCGGAGTGTGGGTGAGTGCCTATGAGTCACGGCCTTGGCACTCCGGCAACCTTCCTAGCCTTTCACTTATGGGCACCAGTGACCCCTACATAAGTCATTGTTCCCCCTCACCAGAGCTGGCTGGCTGTCGTGAGCCAAGCTGCTTATGATAGTGACATGCAGCCTCCACCCCTGAGAGTGTCGGAGGCCTGGCACGGACTGTACATGCTAATGGGGAGCTCTGCTGCCTCCAGCCTCAGAGTACAGGAGAGTTGAGAGAGACAGAGGCTCCTGAGAAGAACCTCAGGCTGCAGGTGACAGCAGTGCGCGGTGCCTGGTCTGGCCCCAGAACCAGCCTGGCTCACCCAGAGCACAGGACCTCATCACTTCTCGAGATGGGGACAGGTGCAGCTCCTGTGGGGAAACGCTGAATTTTCACACCCTCTGTTGCATGTGACTCCCCTGCAGATCCTCCGGCTCTCAGCACAGGACGGGGGTCGTCCTCCCTGTGAGCCTTCCCTGAGACCAGGGGGCTGGGTTCCCGCCAAACACTTGGTCTTTCTCCCATGAGGTTGTGGGCTCCTGAGTGTAGAGACCTGTGAATGCTGCCGCTTGCTCTCTGCTGCCTGGGACAGAGTGTGGGCCTCGCTGAAGCTCAGTTTTCTCATTAAGGAACTGCCTCCAGGCTGTTGTAGGGATTGGATCAAATAGTTCAGGCGACGTCCTCATGCAGTGCTCTGGTCCCGGCATGGGGAAGGCTGCTGCGACAGCCTCTCATCCAGTGCCCAACGCTGTGAGGTACCAGGCAGGGGTGACATAACCTAGACATGCCCATTGAGGAGCCTCTTGAGCAAGGAGGACCAACCCTTGCCTTTCAGATACAGAACAAGAGGCAGAAAGGGGCGTGGCTTCTTAGGAGCCTGTGCCCCTGACCTGCACTCCCCACCTGCGCGCCACTTTAACCCTGCTCTCAGGCTGCGGGTGTCCAGGCAGGTGTCAGAGGTGTGGCCCCTGCACACCTGGGACCCTGCCCATCCTGTCTAGTTGGAAGGACTAGGAGTTCCAGGCATGGGGCCCCGTTTCCTGCTGCCCTCAGAACCAGGCCCGACCCTTTGCCATGGCCTCGAGGGCTGCCACTTCCAGAGTGCACCGGGCCCATCTCCACCCACAGACCACACTGAACCTCCAGCCCCAAGCTCTTCCCACCACAGGGCCTGTACCTGACATGGTTTGTTCGTCTCGCCCACCCTAGAGTTACACGTTCCTGATCTCCTCTGGCTATGAGTGTGCAGAGTGGAGGGAGAATATCCGGGAGCAGCAGAAGTGTGAGTGTCCTCTGTCCTGAGAGGGCTGGGCTTTGAAACACCAGGGCCAGGCTGGCAGCTCCTGTGGTTTGAAACCTTCTTTTTTGTTTTGAGGGGTTTTATCAAGTGAAGTGTTAGGTGGAGGGCTCATTTAGAAAACAAGTTGGAGACGGCCATCCCCGTAGGCCTCCCAGCCGTCTTGTCTCTCCACTCCTGACCGTCTAATGGCACCGAGTTTTCACTTGGACACACCCCGAACCTATCCTGCCCCCATTCCCTGGGCATTCATTTCCCCAGCCTGCTGCACATACACCCCACCCCCTGGCCTGCCCCCTAGGCCTTTCCAGGACCCTGCCACCACCCCATTTTCTTGGCCTCCCCCATTTCCCCTCATCTGCCCTGTACTCCCCCAGGCCTTCCCTGCCCCAGCAGGTGCTAAAGGGGCCCTTGGCTGGGCCCACTTGGGTAGCCACACTGCGCTGGCCCCACTGCCCTGTCCACATGGCCCAGCTGCCTGCTGTCAGCACAGGGGTGCTCCCTCCCTCTGGGGCAGCCCCTTCCTTCTCCGGGCACTTCCCTCTGTCAGGGCGCTCCTTCCTTCTGTCCTGTGTTCGGCAGGGGCCGGGGGCGGGAGGCACACCCAGTTTCCTCCTTGGAGGTTTGGGATTGACATGCCATCCTTACCTAGTTGTTCCCACTGGTACTCTGTATGCCACTGTCCCTCTTGTGGGGGATCTGGGCTGAGCACCATATCCAGGTGGCCCGGTCCTCCCACAGCTGTGGGCCATTACCTGCAAAGCATCGTTTTTCACAGGGATGCTGGGCAGGGGCTCTGTGCACCTCTGACCTGGTCTGACCTCTCATCCCCTCAGGCTTATCCTTCTCACCTATGCAGAGCCACGTCTCAGCCCCCATTGACCCCATGGTCTGGGGCAACAAGGAGCTCCGAGCAGCCCTGCCAGTGCTCCTGGCCCCGGCTCCCTGTCATAACATGGGAGCCCTAGCCATTTCTAGAGTGGCAGCATCTATTCCCTGTTCAGCATTATGCCCAGAAATAAGCCCCTTTTCCTCACCCAGTAAAGAAATGGGGGCAGACCTGTGGCTGCTGTCTGTCTGGGGAGACCTCACAGGGAGGTGGTCCCCGACCAGCCGCTTCTTCTCAGACCTGCCTTGTGGCTGAGCATAGGTAGTGCGTGACGTGTGTTTGTGAGTCTCACGCCAAGACTCCTCCAGGCCTGGGCCTTCCAGAGCCACACCTTGCTCTGCTGCCAGACCAGCATTGCACTTGGGAGCCAAGTGCCCTCTCCTGAGCCTCCAAGTCCTGGCACTAGTTCTTGCCATGCCCCTTCCCCAGGATGTTGTATGGGTCCAGGGGGAGGGGCCGGAGGGCCAAGGAGCTCACTGACCAATTGGTGCACCTCTCTTCCAACCTCCCAGGTTTCAAAAGCTTCTCCCTGATATCCGTGGAGCTGCAGATGCTGACCAACTCGTGTGTCAAACTGCAGACGGTCCACAGCATTCCACTGACCATCAGCAAGGAAGGTGGGCCCATCCTCCTGTGCACAGGGCACCTGCAGGGAGGGCAGGCAGCTGGCCCAGGGGCTGACCCCCACTTCCTGTTAGCACTTTTGTTGGGACTAATGGACTTTGGTTCGGAGGGAAGAGGTGTGCTTGTTAGGGCCTCTTGTCTCCTCCCAGGAGTGGATGAGATGGGTTAGGAGCAGTTTCTCCCTGAGTGGCTACTGCTGGGTGGTTGAGGAGACACTCGGCTAATCACCTTCCTAGTCACAAGGGCTACAGTGGACGCTCCTCCGATGCTCCATGCCTTGATCCGGCCCCTCTCCCACCCTCCCAGCCCTCCCTCCTCCAACTACTTGCTGGTTGGTACTTTGGGTCAAGCCGAGTTTTGCATTCACTGTTGCACATATGCTCAGTCACACACACAGCACATGCTATGCACACCTGTCCACACACACCCCATCCACGTCCCTATCACCCCGACCCCCTCTGTGTCTTTGGAACATTATTACACTTTGGGTCCCTGGAACCCAACTGGACCCTGAGATCCCCAAGACAGAAATCATGATGGGTATGCTTTTGGCCCGTGACACTGGCTTGCCTTGTGCTGGGCAGATGGCAGCTACGCTGTCTCCGGGATGGTTGATTCTGAAGCAGAGTTAGCCTGTCACCTGCCTCCCTTTCCCGGCACAACAGACGCTTACCTCTTTGGTCTCTTGTACAGATGACGGGTCTCTGGGGCTCTATGGGTTTCTGAATGTCATCGTCCACTCAGCCACTGGATTTAAGCAGAGTTCAAGTAAGTACTGGTGTGGGGAGGAAGGTTGCACGGACCGAGCCAGGTTCTCCACCCAGGAAGGACTAATCGGCCAGGGTGTGGGGAAGCAGGGAGGTTGTTCAAATGACCACGGGACACCTTTGATCACTGGCCGCAGTGGAGCGTTGGTGCTGGTTGATGCCTTCTGGGTGTGGAATTGTTTTTCCCGGAGTGGCCTCTGCCGTCTCCCGAGCCTGTCTCAGATCCTGGGAGCCGGTGAGCTGACCCTTGCAGGTGGATTGTGTGATCGCAGGGGTTTGACAAGGAGTTTGACAGGCAGGAGCTGGAAAGCCCAGGAGTCTTGGGTCCAAGCCAGGAGGGCAGTCGGCAAACAGTAAACCTTCACCCCACAGCAGAGCAGATTTGGCTGCTCTGTCAAGCTGGATGAATAATACTCTTTTTTTCTTCTATTTTCTGAGACGAGGTCTCATCCTGTCACCCAGGCTGGAGTGCAACATTGCTATATCGGCTCACTGCAACCTCCACCTCCCAGGTTCAAGCAGTTCTGCCTCAGCCTGCCAAGTAGCTGGGATTACAGGCACGTGCCACCACACCTGGCTGATGGTTTGTATCTTTAGTAGAGATGGGGACCATGCTGGCCAGGCTTAGTCTTGAACTCCTGACCTTGTGGTCTGCCAGCCTCGGCCTCCCAAAGTGCTGGACTTACAGGCATGAGCCATTGTGCCCGGCCCCCAATACTCTTTTTTACCTTGCCCTCTAAGTGGGGTTCTCCCCCAGCTGCTGGAGCCATCAGAACAGTGAAGACTAGGTAACATATCAGTTGCACTATATAAGTTTCTAGAAGCCAGGAGTGGTGATTTGTGCCTGTAATCCCAGCACTTTGGGAAGCTGAGGCAGGCAGATCACTTGAGCTCAGGAGTTTGAGACCAGCCTGACCCAACATGGTGAAATCCCGTGTCTACTAAAAATACAAAGATTAGCCAGGTGAGCTGGTGGGCACTTGTAATCCCAGCTACTTGAGAGGCTGAGACGGGATAATCACTTGAACCCACGAGGCGGAGATTATAGTGAGCCCAGATTGTGCCACTGCATTCCATCTTGGGTGACGGAGCAAGACTCCATCTCAAAAAAAAAAAGTTTCTAGAAACAGCAAAATGTGGAGACAGAAAGCTTACCAGTGATCGTTGAGGGATGGGGTTGGGAGAAAGAACTTACTGCGGACGAACCCAAGGGGACTTTTTAGCTGAGAGCAGTGTCGTGAAAAGATTGGGGTGCTGTTTGCCCTGGTGTTTAAATTTGCTAAAAATCCTCAAACCCTACACTTGGAATGAATGAATTATATGACATGCAGATTACACCTCCATAGTGTTATAACACACAACTTTCCCCTGGACCCCGTCTCTGGCGGCCTCATAGACGCTGATGTTTCGCTCATGGGCCTTCTTCCATCTCTGCCTCTCCTCCCGGGTCCTGTCTGTGAGCAGTGCAGGATGATACCATACGCTGCCCTGGGGTCCTGGGCTTATCTCTCCTTGCCTCCCTGTTACCTTTCTTTCTATCCCTTCAATGTCCCATGCACTCAGCCTTGCATCCCCAAAGGAAACCTATTATTCACGGCCCCCAAACTTGTTCCTCTTATGTCCTGTTCCTTTGAGGGGCACCACCATCCACCCCGTGGCCACACCAGAAACTGCCATCCACTTTCCCTCTGTTAAATGCCGTTCTCCATCAGTGAGGTTTCTTGATCGTGTCTGGCTGCCTGGCTAGGCCCTGGCTGTGGCCTCCTCCCTGGTTGTAGCTCTGGATGTCACTGCAGAAAGGGTCCCCACCACGAGGCCTCTCCACCCCCCTTCTCGGGTGGTTTTTCTTTTTTCTGAGATAGAGTTTCATTCTTACTGCCCAGGATGGAGTACAATGGCACTATCTCAGCTCACCGCAACCTCCATCTCCTGGGTTCAGGTGATTCTCTTGCCTCAGCCTCCCGAGTAGCTGAGATTACAGACACGTGCCACCACACCCAGCTAATTTTGTATTTTTAGTAGAGATGGGGTTTCTCCCTGTTGGTCAGACTGGCCTTGAACTCCCAACCGCAGGCGATCCACCCGCCTTGGCCTCCCAAAGTGCGGGGATTACAGACATCAGCCACTCAGGTGGTTTTTCTAAAATACAAACCCCACCCTGCCACTTACTGCCCACAGCCCAGCCCCGCTCTCCCCCAGCCTTGTCTCCCTCCCTTCTTCCTGCACCCCACAGCTTCCCCAGCACTGAGCTGCTTCCCGTGCCCCACAGTGGCCTGGGGTGCCCTTTGCCTTCACTCTTTGCCTGGTAATACTTAGAGTGGGGTCTGCTCTGGTTGTAGGAGCTTCCCACATCCCCCAGGATGGCTGGCCTCTGCCGTGGTGTCTCTATGGCTCACATCCCCTGTGTAACGATGGCATGTACACCTCTCTGTCCCCACCACTGCAGGGCCCTTCTCATTGTAGGGGCTTTAGCTGTGGTTTGTGGACTGACTGCATGAATGAATGTTGTGGGAGGCCCCGTTTCCCAGCTGCACCCAGGGGAATTTTACAGATCAGGCAGGAGTATAGCATGAGGTGCTGGTGTTCATGCCAGAACCCCATTTGGTGTTTTATTTTTTAAAAGAAAGCTAAAACCTTTGTTTTTTCCAGATTCTTCAAGTAACACCTGCTCTTATAGACCATGTGGGTGATGTGGAAAAGAGCTGCCACCTTCTCCATGTCCCTTTCTCCCACAGATCTGTACTGCACCCTGGAGGTGGATTCCTTTGTATATTTTGTGAATAAAGCAAAGATGCGCGTCTACAGGGACACAGCTGAGCCAAACTGGAACGAGGTGAGGGGCTGATTCCACAAAGGCCCAGCCTGCCAGTGGTCACGGGATGTTCCACTGGAGAGAATCTAAACCTTCCGGGGCTTCCTGAGGGCTTCCCCCAAAGGCAATGCTGCCGAATTTTAGGAATCTCTTGGAATTCAGGGCTATGAGGTGACACGTCTAAGAGATTTTATCTCCATGTTCCTAAGAATCTTACCCACCCCCGACATCAAAAGAAGCAGCCTATTTTGCCGGAGGTGTTTGGAAAGAGACTTGAAAGGGTTTTTTGTCTGCCTTTGTTATCACTTACGTTTACTTGGTAGTTTCCATAGTATTTTCCAGCAGAAGTTGGAATGAGCTCCCTCAACCCTCTTGGCTTCCGGAAGCCTGGGGCTCTGCAGGTAGGGCTGGGACAGGTACTGCAGGGTCTTGCTTACTTGTCTCAGGGTGTTGGGTTTGTATTGTGTGTTGCCGTGCGTTGGAGAGGGTTTTGGTTTGCATTGTGTTTCCTCCTTGGAGAGCTGCTTCGTGAGTCACTTAGCCATTTGGCCCTGCCCTTCTGGGAGTGGGGGAAAGACTGCAGAGAGGCCGGTATTGACTAAGTCCCCAGATCCATGAGAGGTGCCATTTCCCAGCTTCTGCAGCAGCTGTGACCTCGATGATCTCATTCTTGATGGTGCAGGTAGAGACAGCTGGGCCTGCAGATAGCTGCCTCCCACCCCGTCTCCTGCAGAGGAGGAGGCCTGGAGGCCCCAGGCTGCTTCGTCTACATGGGTCATGAGGCTGGTGGAGTGAACAGTGGGGCTGGAACGCGGGTCTCCTTTCTCAGCATCCACTACTCTTTGATCAGTTTAGATATGTTGCTTGAATAGTATAAGGGCACAGGAGCTCAGTAAAATACCTAGTTGTTGTAGCTCTGGACATCCCTGAGAAAGGGCTGAGTGGCAGCATGATCATAGCATGAAAATAGACACACAGATTAATGGGACACACATATGAGAGAGCCCAGAAAGACAGCCACATATTCACAGCAATTGATCTTCAACAGAGCCAACAGAAACACACTCAGAGGAAAGGACGCCCTCTTCAATGAATGGCACTGGGAGGGCTGGATAGCCGCATGCAGAAGAATGAAACTGGACCCCTATCTCTCACCATATACAAACATCACCTCCGGATACATCCAAGACTTGAATTTAAGATGTGAAACTACAAAAATGTGAGAAGAAAACCTAGAGAAAACTCTTGTGGACTTTACTCCAGGCAAGGAATCGATGAGGAAGACCTCAAAAGCCCGACCTAAAAAAGGATGAACTGGAGGATGGCCCAGCAGACCCGTGTCCAGCAGAACCCTGGACAGCGCACGAGGAAGCCTTACAGGCCAGGTTCCTCCTTGCTGTGCCCACGTGGGCAGTGGGGTTGCCAGGGTCAGAAGCCGGCCCAGACTTGCACCCAAAGCCTGCCTTGTTTTGCAGTGGCACTGGGTCCCTGCCTTGCAATCGGGGGTGACTGCTTAAATGGTCCCCCAGAAATACGACAGAAAGGAAAGACAAAAGTGCCAGCCAATAGAATTGCTCCTTGTATTGCCTCTCCCGGTCACCATGTGGGTGCTCTGCCTGGTTGGGGGTCCCCTGGTGTTCAGGCCCCCTCAAACCCCCTTGCTGTGTGTGGTGCTCAGGGCCTTTCTCTTTGCCACTTTGCTGCTGAGGGATGCATTTCTGGAACTCAGAGCTGGGGCTGCCTCTCTGCTCCCCAGGCCCGTTTGTGTTGCAGAAACCACCAGTGTCGAGGGGGCTGGGCCCTGCTTTCAACATTTAGCAGAGCCACCTAATTTTGGCAGAGGCACCGTGTGAGGAGGCAGCATGCACCTCACAGGCAGAGGCAGCGGATGCCTCGGGAAGGGACCCAGCTGAGCCGGCAGCCACAGCCAGGCCCACTTGCTTCTGGCCGGGAGACCCAAGGTGCAAGTGGTAGGTAATGAGACCCCTGCAGCTGAGTGTGCTGTGGTGCCCTGGGCTGGCTGTCTTGGAGCAGATGAGGCTGGGGCTGCAGCTGGAGCTGCCAGATGGGAAGACAAAAGAGAGTGTTTCGAGGTGCGGGTTCCCTGCTGCTGCCCATGAAGGACCACAAGTTTGGGCTGGACTGTGGCTACTGCGGTAACAGGAAGTTTTGGTACTGGAGTGGGACCACAGACCCTTCATCCTGCTGGGCTGCTGGTGTCCTTTCCTGAGGGCGTGCTGTGCCTGAGGCGCATCAAATGGGCCTGAGGAGATTGGAGGAAGCTTACACTGGAGCCTGCAGGAGGCCCCAGAAAGAGAGGCTGGGAAAAGGGACTGTATCTAAGGGGGTAACCTCAGAGTCACTTGCTGCCTTGGGTGCCAGGTTAGCAGATGTGCTGGCTGCAGAACTGGAACCAGATCCAGATACAGCAATCTGCAGACCAGGAGAGAGAGGGTCAGTGGAAACAAGGGGTCCCTGTGTGAAGGGGACAGGGAAATGCACACACATTGGGGTTGGGGATTTCATCCTTTTGCTGCTGGGAGAGGCAGGAAAGGCAGACTGGGCACCTGCTGAAGCTGTGGCTGAGGCCCAGGGATGTGAGGGGCCTCTTTGCCCTCCACTCGGTGGGGCCCCCCATGAAGGGTTCCATGTAGAGGGGGTAAGGGCCCCTGCGGCAGCTGCAGCAGCAGAAGTGCCAGGTCTTGGGCTTCTCAGGCTGCAGTCCGCACGTGGAGCTGGGAAGGGGGCAGGAATCAGCGAGGTGACCTGGGCTGTGTCCCGGGGGTGTGAAGGGGTGTCAGGAAGGGAATCTTAGGAGAACAGGGGGCCTGATGAGTGGCACTTCCTCCCAGACACAGCAGGTCTAGAGGGGTCCCCTGCAGCAGATGCTAGGAGGGACAGGTGGTCCAGGTACTGTTGGGACTTGTGAGTCTGCTGATGTGCATCCATGCTGGGTGCTTCAGGGACAGCAGGTGGACAAGAAGTCCCTGTTGCAGATGAGGACAAAGCTTGTGAAGGCCGTGAGGCTCTACAGTCCCATATGGCCTTGACCTCACCCTGCAGTGCACTATTAATGCCCCGTAGTGTCGCCTCCTTCTCCAGGTCTTGGTCTTCAGCAGTGATCCGGAACCCCAGCTGTAAGGGAGGGGGCAGCATCAGAGGCTCCCCTCCGCTGCATGGCAGCAGAGGATACTTCTTTCTATGAGGCCTAGACTTTTGAGATGTTGGGGAGCCATTCCTGGGGGCCAGTTTCTCCCCTGGTAGTGCATCTGCTGCCTTTTCACGCTGAGCGTGAATGACAACCTGAGAGTTGAGCTCACTCACTGTCTCTGAGGAACTGAGGGTCACATGGCAGTGGGATGAGTTAGTGTCCAGGCTGATTCCAATTGTCCGGGCACTTGTAGGATGACCTGCCACTCGACCCAGGGGCAGGAGCAGGGAGGAGATCCCACAAGCAGTGACCTGCGGGATGGGGAGAGCAGGGTCCTGGCAACTGAGCCCTTCTGGTAGATTTTTGGCACTCGGGCTGGGACAGGGATAAGGGGCACAGAGTGCCCAGGTAGCCCCTTCTGGGAACAGTGGGGTAGTTTCAGATGCTTCAAATCTCGAGAGCTAGGCTCTGAGGGTCATCTTTTAGCTGGCAACTCGGCATGGCAGTGGGATGAGGCTGGCCCCCTCCTCCTCTTTAGCCCCGGGAAGCCTCTTTTGCTGTAGGAGCTGGAAATGGCCGTTTTTTGGGGGGCCAGGGCTCATCCCAGAAGGCAGGGATTTCTGGTCATATGTGACTTCTGACATGGTCACATGGCAGTGGGTTGAGGCTGGTCCCCTCCTCCTCTTTAGCCATGGGAAGCCTCCCATTCAGGTGTAAGAGCTGGAAATGGAATTTCTTTGGGGCAGGGGCTCATCCTGCAAGTCTGGGATCTCTGTTCATATTTAATTTCTGAGCTCTGGGCGTGGAGGTCTCTCTGTAGAGGCTGGGGCCTGGGCACTTGGGCTGGGACAGGCATAAGGGGCACAGAGTCCCCATGTAGCCCCTTCTGTGAACAGTGGGGTACTTTCAGATGCTTCAACTCTCGAGAGCTAGGCTCTGCGAGTCGTCTTCTAGCTGCCAACTCGGCATGGCAGTGGGATGAGGCTGCCCCCTCCTTTTCTGGAGCCACTGGAAGCCTCTAGTGCAGCTGTAGGAGCTGCAAATGGCATTTCTTTGGGGGCAGGGGCTCATCCTGCAAGTCTGGGATCTCTGTTCATATCTAACTTCTGAGCTCTGGCCATGGAGGTCTCTCTGCAGAGGCCTGGGCCTGCTCACTAAGAGCAAGGGGCATCTATTATCTTGTAGGGGCCTGAATGCAGACCGTGCATCCCTGGTGTCCTTGGGGCCCCTCTTTTTATCATCAGGATTCTCTTGGATTCGGTTCCTTGTCCTGCTCAGGCATCTCTGCCTCACTCTCCCTTTGGGCTCTCAACACGATCTCCTCTGGACAGGAGTTTGGGCCACAGCTGGGTGTTATGGGCCCCAAAGGGGTGACTCCCTGCTTCTGGGTCCCACAGAGGGTTTCTATCTCGAATTGGAAGCTTGCTGTGGTACCTGTGCATCCAAATTGAAGGCAGAGGCAGGATCGCTGGAAAACCTTCTTGATCTTGTTTTGACACAGTGTGATTCCAAGTGTCAGGGCACTTGTAGGATGACCTGCCACTCCACCCAGGGGCAGGAGCAAGGAGGAGTTCCCACAAGCAAAGTGAACGGAGGGATGGGGAGAGCAGGGTCCAGGCAACTGAGCCCTACTGGTAGGCTTTTGGCACTCGGGCTGGGACAGGGATAAGGGGCAGAGTGCCCAGGTAGCCCCTTCTGTGAACAGTGGGGTACTTTTGGATGCTTCAAATCTCGAGAGCTAGGCTCTGAGCGTCGTCTTCTAGCTGCCAACTCGGCATGGCTGGGGGATGAGGCTGGCCCCCTCCTCCTGTTTAGCCAGGGGAAGCCTCCCGTGCAGCTGTAGGAGCTGGAAATGGCATTTCTTTGGGGGCAGGGGCTCATCCTGCAAGTCTGGGATCTCTGTTCATATTTAATTTCTGAGCCCTGGGCATGGAGGTCTCTCTGCAGAGGCTTGGGCCTGATCACTAAGGAAAAAGGATGTCCATTATCCCGTAGGGGCTGAAATGCAGACCATGCATCCCTGGTGCCCTCGGGGCCCCTTTTTTTATCATCAGGATTCTGTTGGGTTCGGGTCCTTGTCCTTCTCAGTCATCGCTGCCTGGCTCTCCCTTTGGGCTCTCAACACGGTCTCCCCTGGGCTATACTCTGGGCCACAGCTGGGTGTTATGGGCCCCAAAGGGGTGACTCCCTGCTTCCGGGCCCCACAGAGAGTTTCTATCTGGAATTGGAAGCTTGCTGTGCATCCAAACTGAAGGCAGAGCCAGGATCGCTGGAAAACCTTCTTGATCTTGTTTTGACACAGTGCTGATTCCAAGTGTCAGGGAACTTGTAGGATGACCTGCCACTCCACGCAGGGGCAGGAGAAAAGAGGGGTTCCCACAAGCAAAGTGAACAGAGGGATGGGGAGAGCAGGGTCCAGGCAACTGAGCCCTACTGGTAGGTTTTTGGCACTCGGGCTGGGACAGGGATAAGGGGCAGAGTGCCCAGGTAGCCCCTTCTGTGAACAGTGGGGTACTTTCGGATGCTTCATATCTCGAGAGCTAGGCTCTGAGCGTCGTCTTCTAGCTGCCAACTTGGCTAAAGCCTAAGCGAGCAGCTTCTCCTGTTGCAGGGCAGCGCAGCTTTAAAACCTGCGCGAGTAGGGGCATGTGCAAAATCGGGCACAAGTGAAAGATCCATCCCTGAATGGCGACCTTCAGGGATTCGTGCGACAAGGTATGCATGTTAGGCAACTGCTGACAATGCTGTGGGGGGAGTGGTGTAAACCCTTCACTCGAGGTACATCCTGGCAGTGGCAGGGTTGGGGGGTGTAAGGTATGTGCATGAGGCACCTGTGGGCAATGACAGGAGTAGGGCCCTCGGGAACAGAGGGGTACGTGCAATGGGTACAAGGCACCTGCTGGCAATGGCGGCAGAGGGGTCAAGGTATACCCACCAGTCGCCTGCTGGCAATGGCAGGGGTCGCTGGACGGCACAGGGAGAGCGGCGCGCCGTCGTCCAGATAACTGAAACTACAAGTGTGGGACACCACGCTCGGCTAATTTCTTGTATTTTTTGTAAAGTCGGGAGTTTTACCTTTTTGCGAAGGCTGTTCTAAAACACCTGGGCTCGATCAATCTTTCTGCTTCTGCCTCCCAAAGTGTTGGGATTACAGGCATGAGATGTCCCGCCTGAATATTTTTGAGATTCACAGAGATTAATAGGTCATAATAACAGTTCACAACTTGTCGTTATATTTAATATCTATTGATTTTACTTAGCCACCCCCATTGTAATTTAAATGATTTGTTCCTGACCTGGTTTTTCTTTCCTTTTTTTTTGAGACAGAGTCTCACTCTGTCGCCAGGCACCAGGCTGGAGCGCAGTGGCACAATCTCGGCTCACTGCAACCTCCGCCTGATTTTTCTTTGTTGGTGAGGGTTGCAGACCCCTTACACAACATTCCAGGAATGAAGCAGTGATAATGAACCTGCAGCTGCCCGCAGGGGGCGCTGTGCGGAGGGTTGCAAAAGGACCTGGTGGTCCCTGGTGCTGCCAGGGGTGCTGCCTCCATTCTACTTTCTGACACCCGCACCATGGGGCCAGGCTTGATGTGACCCCATCACTTCTCTGTTCACCACAATTTTTTGTTTGTTTTGAGACAGAGTCTCGCTCTGTTCCCAGGCTGCAGTGCAGTGGCGCCATGTCAGCTCACTGTAACCTCTGCCTCCAGGGTTCCAGCAATTCTCTTGTTTTAGCCTCCGTGCCAGGCGTGCGCCACCATGCCCAGCTAATTTTTGTATTTTTAGTAGAGACAGGATTTCACCATGTTGGTCAGGATGGTCTCAATCTCTTGACCTCGTGATCCGGCTGCCTCGGCTTCCCAAAGTCCTATGATTACAGGCGGGAGCCACCGCGCCTGGCCCACTACACAGTTTTATCACTTGATACGGAAGACTTGACTCCATCCATGTTCCTTAGGAGGTGTGTGCGCCTCCTACGTGGCTAACTGGGTCCAAAAACAAGACACCAGTTCAAACACTGAAACCCATCAGATTCTCCCACAGCCTTCCTGCTATCAGAAGACACTGGAGCAGGGATGGTTGCTATACAGGGCGGAGTCTCTGATTCCCACACAGGTTCTGTGTCCTGCCTCGCTGGGCTCCTCCTGGCCATCAGGTCAGGCCAAGCAGCGGAGAGGTCCAGAGATGCACACGCCCCTCCATCAACGCTGCACGGACAGAACCACACACAGCTCTTGGGAGGAGTAAGATAAGCTGCTCACAGCATTGGAGGGTCTGGCACAGTGGTCAGCGTGGCAGGAACGGTGCGTTAGCCAAGGTAGGGATGGCGGGAGACGCACTCAGGATCCTCAGGGAGGCTGCAGCACTTCCATTCTCTTTCCAGATAACAAGGACGTGTCGGTGATGATGAGCGAGATGGACGTGAACGCCATCGCAGGCACCCTGAAGCTCTACTTTTGTGAGCTGCCCGAGCCCCTCTTCACTGATGAGTTCTACCCCAATTTCGCTGAGGGCATTGGTGAGCACCGGAGGCCTTGGCATCCTGGGAGGCATCTCCTCGCCCATTGCTGCCCTTGGGGGCTGTGAAGAGTGAGATGTGGGAACCAAAGCTGTGCCACCTCTGCCATGGTTGGCCTTTTAACCAACCTGAGAAAGCAGGGGCCAGAACCCAGCCTGTCCTGAAGCCCTCACCTGTTCCCAGAGGGCTTGCTGTCCCTATTCCTCCAGGAGACCAAGAGGGTGAAATGGTCAGCACTGCCGTGCTGTGGGGTCCTAAACTCTGCTGTCCTCCTTTCTGCAGACCAGGGCTGAATGAGGGTGCCCGGGTGCTATAGCCACAGGTCCTGGGCCTGTCAAGCATGGGTTCAGTCCTGGCCTGACCCTTAGTCAACCTGGAGGCTGATGGCTAAAGTGGAAGGCTGGCACATGTGGCCATGTAGCCTTCATATCACCCTTAGAGCAGGTCTGCCTTCCGGGCCCATGCACAGAGGACCGGCTCTCCCAGCCTGCAGGTGCCCCTGTGGTGTCCAGGGTGATGAGGGGCGTCTATGTGTAGCTGGTGGGGCTGGGGCCCTCCCACCTCCCACCTCTCACCTCCCACCCCATTGTGTCCCTCCCTCCCTTATTTCATTCCATGCTGAGCCTCCCCTGCCTAGGCTGCCTGGGGATGGGGTGCAGCGGGAGTTTCCCAAGCTCGGCTCTGCCCATGGGCGGCTGCTCTCACGCCACCTCCTGCTGCTGTTCTCCAGGTGCTGCTGACCCCTGTGAGGTAGAGAAAATTCCTTCAGGTGGCTTACAGCCCACATAGGCGCCCTTCACAGGGTCCTCACTGGGGACCGGTGCTGTGGAAGTGAGGATGATGAGGGATCTGGGCTGCTCAGGGACACGAGTCCCGGGTGTTCTAAGTGACCACCTCAGGAGAGGGCTCTGGCTCGTTGTGACCCGGAGGAGTGACCCCCTGCCTCCTGCAGCTCTTTCAGACCCAGTTGCAAAGGAAAGCTGCATGCTCAACCTGCTGCTGTCCCTGCCGGAGGCCAACCTGCTCACCTTCCTTTTCCTTCTGGACCACCTGAAAAGGTAGCCCAGCTCTCCTATGGCTGCCCAGGATTCCAGGGTGCCCCAGTGCTCCCATCAGACGAGTTCTACCCCAATTTCCGAGGACCTTTTCTCCTGACCCCTGCCTGCAGTCCTTCACTGCCTCTGGGGACTAGTGCCACTGATGCCCCTGCCCCAGCCTCTCCTCTTTGCCACTCTTCTTCCTCTGCACTGTGGCCTTAACAAAAAGCTCAGAGGTTTTGCCATGGCCACCAGTGCACTTGAACCCCCCAATTCCCTCCCATCCAGATCATGAAGGAGACCTCCCCACCAGCCCAGAGCTGGACCCTTGTCCTAGGCCCCTTGTCCTGGGCCACCTAGACCCAGAAGTATCAGGGCTGGAGTCAGCTTGCAGCACAGCCAGGGTCGAGGTCGCTCCCTCCCTGAGGACTCCAGCATGGCCCAGCCCTTCCGCTTCTCTCCTGTTGGTGGCGTTGAAACAGCCCCCTCTGTTTCGGTCCTGGACAGGGTGGCAGAGAAGGAGGCAGTCAATAAGATGTCCCTGCACAACCTCGCCACGGTCTTTGGCCCCACGCTGCTCCGGCCCTCGGAGAAGGAGAGCAAGCTCCCTGCCAACCACAGCCAGCCCATCACCATGACCGACAGCTGGTCCTTGGAGGTCATGTCCCAGGTATGGGAAGACGGGCTCCAGCCCATGCCACCCCAACCTGACAGAGGTGGCCTCTGCCTGCTCCACCCCGAGTCCTGCCCATCCTCCTACCTGCATTGTATGTGGAGGTGGTCAAGATGCAGAGAGAAACTTGCCTAGGTCTGCACGAATGGGAGCGTTATCGGGGGGCCCAGGCCACCTCCTGGTCCTGCTGCTGCACCCTGCTGGGGGCTTAGCACCACCCAGAGTGTTCAGGCGTGGTGGCTCATGCCTGTAATCCCAGCACTTTGAGAGGTCACGGCAGGATAACAGAACCCAGGTGTTTGAAAGCATTCTAGGCAATGTAGCAAACTCCATCTCTAGAAAAAATAGCCAGGCATTGTGACATACACCTGCAGTCCAGGCTTCCAGGGAGGCTGACATAGGAGGATTGCTTGAGCCCAGGGGTTGGAGGCTGCAGCAATCCATAATGGAGCCACTGTCCTCCAGCCTGGGTGAACAGAGCAAGGCCCTGTGCGGCTCTGAAATAAAACTGTCCCCCTCAGTCATGCCTTGTGAGGACCCCACCCCACCCCTGTCTCACTGTAAGGGGTTCATGGCACCAGCAGGGGCCTCAGCTCCTGGGCTGGATTTGGGGGCTTGGGCCCCAGAGACCTCCCCACCAGCAGCTGTGAGCACCCCTCTGAGCTGCTCTCACTTCCCCACTCTGTCAGGGCAGGTCCAGGTGCTGCTGTACTTCCTGCAGCTGGAGGCCATCCCTGCCCGGGACAGCAAGAGACAGAGCATCCTATTCTCCACCGAAGTCTGAATACCCCCATCCATCTCCAGGAGGCGGATAGATGGCCTGGAAACCTCTGGCTCATGGGGCCATCCGTAGAGCGGGAAATAAACCTTCCTGAGGTGTCCTCGGGCCACCCCCAAGCGGCGGGCCATCTGCCAAGAGACAGCCACCCAAAGCAGAAGGACAGCTGGCCTGGGGAGATCCCAGCCAGGTCTGGGAGCCCCAGGCAGGCCTCAGAGTGTGGTTTTTGCACACGGCCACCCGAGGGCGCCCCAAGCCAGTGCATCTCAGAGTCCATGCCTGGCCCTGGGGGACAGGGTGAAGGGAGTGGTTTTTATGAACTGAACTTAACAGTTTAAAAGATTTCTACTGGATCACATGTCAAGATGCGCCCTCTCCGGGGAGAAGGGATCGTGGCCGGATTCCCTCACTGTTGTATCTTGAATAAACGCTGCTGCTTCATCCTGTGGGGCCACGGCCCTGTCCCTGTGTGGGTGGGGCCTCTCCCATTTCCCTGACTAGAAACCACACTCCATTTAGAGCAGGGTTTGAGAGGCTAAGTCGGCACTGACTAGTGTTATGACTCCATTCAGGGCTTTCTTTTTTTTTCCGGGAGGATTTTTTGCAGAAATGGGTCTTTGTTGCCCTGTTTGTCCTCCTTGGATGGCAGCTCCAGGAGGCCTGTGAGATGTCGGGGGACTGGACCCCTGGGGAGTCCCAGGCTACGCACTTTAGGGTTAGTCCTCCAGGGAGCGGCGCCTCATCCCCCCATTCCGACTGCCCTCCTGGTGCACGCTCTCCTGATTGGCTTCCACAGGCCAGGACTTCCCTGGCTTCTCTCTGCCCACACTCCCTGCCCCAAGTGTCCCCAGCACAGGTGACTACATTTCCATTCGCAGCTCAGAGGACGTGCTCTGCTTTTGTAAAAGTCTCCACTGGGTGGCAGCAGCTTGCTGATGAATTGTTTTAAAACTTTGATCTGAAATGTCTTTTGATACTTGAATATGTTTAAGTTTTATACATAGCTTTTTTCCTAACAGATTCCAATACCTGATAAGATGCTAGAATGTATTCCGTGGACAATCCGTGTCCTGGCTGCATTTTGTCTTCCTCTAAGCGCCTGGCTCCGCTGCCCTCAGGAATGGGTTCTCAAGTCTCTGGAGAACAGGATACATGGAGAGTTAGGCAGGAACCAGGCCTAGGGACCGGGGGCTCCTTCCCAGAGCAGGTGGAGCCTCAGGACCACCCGCCACCCCCTCTGTCGGCACATGCATGGGAGTCCAGGCATTCTTTGCAACCCCACCTGACCATCTTGCTAAAAGAAAACAGAAGCGTGGAGGCTGCCACCTATTTGCAAGAAATTAACCCATAAACAACTGCATCACTTTTTTAGAAAGAGGTTTGGGGCAGGGAAAGGGGAGAAGGGACCCGAAGCCGAGAGCTGAGTTTCCAGAAAATCCTGCAGGAGAAGAGGATGCATCTGCCCAGAGGAGGAAAGTGGGATCGCACTCAGGAAAGTGTGTGGGGTCCCAGGATGATGCCAGCACCCAGCGCGGCTCTGTCCGGCAACCTCTCCCAAGGTCAGAGTAGTGGGTGTCCCCTGTGTGTGGATGGGCAGCTCCTGCTGAGCCCGCAGCACCTCGGGGAGCCTGACAGCGGGGTTGTGTGCCTCACACTTCTCTGCTCGTGGACCTGGTGAGTCTGGGAGCAGAAAACAGAGCCACAGGAAGGTTTTCTGTCTGCATCTGTGTGTGGTGTGGATTTAGTTGTGCTTTTTTCTTGCTGGGAGGGCACAGGCACCGTTTGCAAGAAGAGTCACCCTGGTGGGTGGGGAAGGCAGAACAGGAGCCTCTCTGCCCTCTGTAACTTTCTGGGTCTGGTGGGCTCCCCTGTCCTGGCTTCCATCTCTGTCTGTCTCCGTGACCCTCCAGCCCTGCAAGGGAACACATGTGGCTTAGAAAAGCCAAATCCAGTGCTGGTCTCTGTCTCCTCTGGTCTCATGATGTGCATCTGCGGCCTTGAAACTGGAAAGCAATCTATTGACGTCTGTGCCAATCAATTTTCGTTTCCCCCCTACCTGCGTCCCCATGCAACTTCTATTTACGTATGGTGTTTGCTGTCTAATGGTGGGATAACCACACTTTCCATGTTCTCAAAGGGATCCTCCCCCACTGGGTTCCAGGAGTGATGATGGCTTTAGGACTTGAGGTGTGTCACTTACCTGCGTCCTGGCTCAAAAGCCTGTGCAGAAGCAAAGCTGGTTCGGGGCTGGGAAATGCAGCGTTCTCCAGGACGGGACCCAGCTCTCCCCCTGCAACGCAGACAGAGGCCTGGGTGCCAGTGTGACCTCCCACAAGGCATGGCTGCCAGACTCCCTGACCAGAAGTGATGCTTTTCTGCATCAGGCCCTGGGTTTGAAGCAGCCTCGCTTTCTCTCTGTAAGTGGCTGGTGTCTTATCAGTGGCAATATGAGCTCGGCCACCTGCACAGCACCGTGGGGGAAAGAACTGCCGACACTTTCATTAAAGTTCTCTGACACGACTCCCGTGCTTGTTGATTTCATCATCAGCACCGCTGGGTGGAACCCCTGAGCCAGTGGGGTGGGGGCCGGAAAACGCAGGTGCAGTGATGGGCTGGGTGCCCAGGAGGCCTCAATGCTCAATTAGGCCAAGGTGGCCAAGCACAGGCCACAAGGAAGGCAGGCCTGGGGGGTGTGGATGAGCACAGGCAGGTGCAGGCTGGACAGCGTTAGGATGCTGGAGCAGCAGCAGTAACTCCACTGAATTGGGCAGTGTGATTAGGGCAGGGACCACTGTTTTGCTGGAGAGAGATGATCCCCCCTTGGAAGAGGTTTTTCTGCCCCTGCAGGTGGATCCGGGACAGACTGCTGCCAGGATGACCCGGCTGGTGCTCCTTTGCTGTACTGGGCCCTGGGACAGGGAGGACTCCCACCACACACAGCCTGGGCCCGGGTTCTTACCTGCGGCCACTGCTCTGGTAAGATCGCCTGGTCTTGGGTGGTTTCTGCTGGGTCTGGGGTTTGGTGTTGCTGCTGAGTCCAGCCTTTCCACCACCTGTGCGGGGCCCTGGGTAATCTCAGCCACCTATTTTCTTGCCCTCAGAAGCCTGTCCAGCTTACAGGAGAGCTGCCATGGGCTGGAGATGGGCATGCAGCCTGGGTCCTACTTGGGTGAATCAGCCAGGATTTGGGGAAAACCCCAAACAACAACAATTGAATCTCTATCTCTCGTGAAAGAATAACACAGCTACAGTGATAGGGGCAGGGAAGGAGGTGGTCTGTCTAAAACTTTGCACAAGAGTATTTTGAAGGATAGCATATTGCTAAATGAGAGAAGACTAGTGGGAAAAACCATCTAGCTAGCAAATGTCTCCCAGAGGTTCACGTGGATTCACGGTTCTGAAGCTCCTCTGTAGGAATAAAAAAGCTGAACCATCGAATGAGAAAAACAAAAAAACAAAAACAAGAAGCCCTGAGCCATCCATGGTAAAGCCTGAGGGCCAGGTTTCTCACTGTTGGAAAATGAAATGGAAAAATGGGATATTAGGATATAGTCTGTGGTGCTGGATGGTAATTGAAGGCATTTGTGTAAACTCGTGTATTTAAAAAATTATGTCCATTTAGTCCTAAGTGTATTAATGGATGTGTGTCCCTCTAAGGGGTTGATAGACTTAGGTATATTTTCTAGTTCTGTCCACTGGGGGGAGCTAGAAGCAACAGCAGAATCCTGTCCAGTGCTCACTTTCCAACCACCCTCTAATCAAAAGAGCCAGGTCTCATTGAAGAAGAACTTGATTTCAAAGCTGACAGAAAAAAATACCAGATGAATGCAAAACATCTTGTTACACAGGAGCAAAGAGGTTCTCACTAAAGGATGGAGCTCGCTGGAAGGACACAGGAGCCAGTCTTAAGGAGCTCCCATTGGCCAGACCTGAAAGCATCTTAGCTAGAAAGTGCATATCGATAGTATGAAATTATTAGCCATACAATAAAGTAAGTATTGGCAAGTCTATGCAGATATAAATAAATAACTGAATGAATAAACAAGTGTAGAAGAGGGGACCAGTGATCTTTACGGAAGATTTTCAATTGATTAATGTAGAAAGAATGAGGGAAATAGAGAATCACTTGAAGCAAGAAATCAGTGTTGCAGACAAGAATCCTTCAAGGTGGCTAAAATCTCTCTGCAGAATTCTGATAAGATGCAGGACACTGACATAACCTCAACGTACTGTCTCCAAAGTATGCCTTCCCTATGAAAGTTAACAACACTAGCTGGGTGCAGTGGCTTGTGCCTGTAAACCCAGCATTTGGAGAGGCCAAGGCAGATGGTTCACCTGAAGTCAGGAGTTTGAGACCAGCCTGTCCAACATGGTGAAACTCCATCTCCACTAAAAATGCAAAAAAAAAAAAAAAAAAAAAAAAAAAAAAAAAAAAAAAAACCCCACATCTGGGCAGGGTGGTGCATGCCTGTAATCCCAGCTACTTGGGAGGCTGAGGCAGGAGAATCACTTGAACCTAGGAGGCAGAGGTTGCAGTGAGTGGAGATTGCAACACTGCAATCCAGCCTGTGTGACAGAGCCAGACTCCATCACAAACAGAAAGAAAAAGAGAGAAAGGAAGGAACGGAGGGAGGGAGGGAGGAAAGAAGGAAGGAAGAAAGGAAAGTTAACAACACCAAAAAATAAATAATAACTTTCCCATAAGAAAACATGGCAGACACCGCATGAACTTTGTGGTCAAGTGAATGTCACCTTACAAACGACACAGCACCATCAGGTACCCTCAGATGTGACACACTGAGGAAAAAAGCATCACATGTGTGGTGTCCTCTCCATTAAAAGCAAATTCTCAATTTGATTATGAGAAGACATCAGAAGAACACAAATTCAGAGACACTCAACAAAATACCTGACCAGTACTCTTCAGAATTTCCAGGGCATGAAAGACAAGGAAATAGTGAGAAACTGGCACAGATGGAAGCGTCCAAGGGGCACCTGCCAATTAAATGCGGTGTGGGATCCTCGACTGGATCTTGCAACAGAAAAAAGAAAGTGATGGAAAGATTGGTGAAATTAAAATAAGGTCTGCAGTTCATTTGCTAATCATATATCCATGTGAATGTCCTGGTTTCCACACTTGTAACTAAGGTGGTGCAAGATATTGACATTAGAAGCTGGCAGAAGGACAGATAGAAGTTTTGTGCTTATTTTTTGCAGCTTTTCTGCCTAAATTTCTTTCAAAACAAAATATGAAATGAAAGATGGGCAATTGAGAACCATTAATGGATTGAAAAATAACACACTTGCATGCAAATGCAAATAATACCCTTTTCTGAAATATATAATCTCTGCTTTAGGAAAGCATTATAAGAAAAAAGGGAAGTGATGATCATCTCCAAACCAAATAAACAAAGAAGGGACTGAGTGGCCTTGTTGTACATTTTTGCAAAGTGACAGACAGTTGGATTCTTCTGTTTCCTCCTGCATTCAACCTGTCTCAGTATCTTGTTTGATTGAAATATAGAAAGACAACCCAGCTTCACTCAAATATGTCTGTAGAAAAGGAAGCTTTGTTTGATTTCTCTTGGTCAGCTGCACAGGGAGGGGAGTGCTAAGTCCTATGGAAAGTAGGTTCCTCCAACCTACCCTGGCCACCACCATCCTCGGCGGGATCTGGGTGACCTGTGCAATGCTGTTCTAAGCGACTCTCCCCTCCAGGGTTTCCAACAAGGGCGCAAGAGGACCCACACGTGCTGATCTCAAAGCTGTCATCGGCTGCACCACGTGCTGGGCACCAGAATCCTGCTCCCCTGTATCGCCCCCTCTGCCAGGCGGGGACCCGATTTTGGACAGTGCACCGACAGCTCTTGCTAGGGTAGCGGTCCCTTCTGGTGGGGCCAGGAGGAGAAGGGACCGCTACCCTAGCAAGAAGCTCAGCCACCTCCAGCCGAGCACCCTCAACCCTCAGCAAGACAGCGGTGATCTCCAGGGGGCAGATCCGCAGCCTTTGCGCAGGGCTGTTCCTCCCTCATCCTCTGAGCGAGCTGGCTCCCTCCAAAATCTATTGCGCGCGCCGCTGCCATTACCTACACGTGCCTTGTCCGCGCGACCGGACCGCGCCAATCCGTTATACTCGCCCGTTGCCCGCCCAATCGTCGCGCAGGTTTGAAAGATGCGCTCCCGGCAGCAGGTGAAACTAAGCTCTTATTGTTTGGCCGAGTTGGCAGTTAGAAGAGAAGCTTCAGAGCCAAGCTCTCAAAACTGCGCTCTATTCTTTGGCCGAGTTGGCAGTTAGAGGAGAACCGTCAGAGCCCAGCTCTCAAGAGTTCAAGCATCTGACGGTTCCCCACTGCTCCCAGGGACAGTTACCTGGGGGCGCTGTGCCCCTCACCCCTGCCAGTAGGGCTCAGTTTCCTGGAGCGCACTCACTCCATCCCCCAGTTCACTTTGCTTGTGAACAGAATGGCAGGCCATCCTGCAAGTATCCAGAGACTTAGCATCAGCGGTGTGTCCAAGCAACTCTACTAGGATATTCCCGTGATCCCGCAAGCCCTGTGTTTCTTCCTGGTGATCCTGCCTTCAATTTGGATGCACAGGTACCACAGCAAGCCAGTGCTGTGTGCTTCCAGTTCCAGAATGTCCTGTAGGTCAGCCAGTTCAATGAGCACAGGGACTCTCGGTGGGGCCCAGAAGCAGGGAGTCACCCTTTGGGGCCCACAACACCCAGCTGTGTGTGCCCCAGACTCCTGTCCAGAGGATATCATGTTGAGGACCCTCAGGGAGAGTGGGGCAGGGTTGCCTGAGCAGGACAAGGACCCCGGAGTCCAAGAGAATCCTGATGATGAGAAAAGGAGCTCCAAGGGCACCAGGAATGCACAGTCTGCCTTTAGGCCCCTGCAGGACAATAGATACCCCTTGCCCTTAGTGCCCAGGCCCAAGCCTCGGCAGAGAGCCTTCCATGCCCAGAGGTCAGAAGTCAGATATGACCTGAAATCTCAGCGCTCCTGGATGAACCCCTGACCCAAACGAAATCCCATCTCCAGCTCCTACAGTGCCATGGGAAGCCTCCCATGGCTAAAGAGGAGGAGGAGGCCACCATCATCCCACTGCCGGCTACCCCTCAGCTCCTCAAAAACAGTGACTGAGGGCAGCCCGCGGGCTGTCTTTTGGGGTCGCACCCAATGTGCAAAGGTGGCAGATGCAGCCTTTGCACCTTCAGCGCCAAAACTTCCAGGAACGGCTTCCCCACATCACAGACCTCTAAGCCCCGTAGATGCAAGTTTCCTCTGCTGCCATGCAGGCGAGGGGAGCCTCTGATGCTGCTGCCTCCCTTACAGCTGGGGTTCCGGGTCACTGCTGAAGACCTGGACCTGGAGAAGGAGACAGCGCTCTGGTGCATCAACAGTGCACTGCAGGGTGAGGCCACGGCCATCTAGGACTGCAGAACCTCACGGCCTTACCAAGCTTTGTCCTTACCTACAGCAGGGATGGCTCATCTTCCTCCTGAACTCTAGGACCCAGCATAAATTCACAACACTAGAGACACAGGTCCAGGACTGCCTGGGCCTAGTGGCCCTCCTAGCATCTGCTGCAGGGGCCCCCTCTATATCTGCTGTGTCTGGGAGGAAGCACCACTCAGCAGGGCCCCTGTTCTCAGATCCCCTTCCTGCCATTTCTTGCCATTCCTGGGCCTCAGCACCATTCACCTTGCTGCCCCCTGCCCCCTCCCCAGCTCCAAGCATGGACTGCACCAGGAGAAACCCAAGCCCTCCCTCTCCTGCTCCTGCAGCTGCTTCAGCAGCCCTTCCTCACTTCACTCAGCACCAGCAGAATGGAATCCCCATCTCCAGGGTGTTTGGATTTTCCTGTTTTCTCCACACAGAGCCCCACATTGCCCTGACCCTAGTGCTCCTCTCTGCCACAGTCTGTGGATCACTGTATCTAAAGGCAGTTCCAGCCCTGCAACCAGCACATCTGCTAAACTAGCTCCCCAGCAACAACTGACTTGGAGGTCACCCCCATGGATACCAGCCCTGCTTCTCAGCTTCCCCTCCTGGGCCTCCTGCTGCCTCCAGTGAAAGCTTCTTTCCATCAATCCAGGCCCTTTCGATGCCCCACAGTGACAGCACAGCCCAGCCAAGGACACCACTGGCCCGGCTGAGCTAAGGTTCTCTGGCTTGTCCTTCCCCATACTTTATCATAAAACTTCTTATTTACATTATTTTCATGTGTCTGTGTCCTGTGGACATAGGGGAATGAGAAAGTCTTGGTTTGTGTGAATTTTGATATGTGAGGTCTGAACTAATTGCTGAGTGAGTCTCCACTGGCCCAGTCAATGGAGCACAACTTGACGGCTGCAGTGATGGACAGGAATTTAAAAAGTGTTCTGTGTTTATGGGATGGTGGCTCAGGCTCAAGTAGGCGCTGGAGAGGGATAGTCTGGGAAACTCATTCTGCCTCTTGAAACTTCTGCTGCTCCCCCACCTACATACACATCTCACCCAGAGAGGATGGGCCTGGCATGGAAGCTCCTGGGCCAGGGGGAAAGAGGAATGAAAATTCACTTCTGCTCTGTCACCAAAGGAACATTAATTGTAGTATGTCACTTATTCCTGAGCAGCGTATGGCATCCTGCTTTGAAAAAAGGAGGATTCCTTGAGTATATGTTGGACATAGATGCTTGGTGCCGCAAAGAAAAATCGCACTGAGACAAAGGATCTTTCAGCAATGCAATTTTTACTCCCTGGACTGCAGAAAGGGTACCCTCACTAGCCATTTTGCCACGAGAGTACAAAGAACAAAGAAAAACAGACAAATTTATTCCTTATGCATTTGGGGTCATTCCTACTGCTGTGTCTGATCTCATTGGCTGAAGCCAGATCTCACAATCTAAAACCCAATTGTCTAACAACTTAAAACTCTTCTGAACAGGTAAAAGCAATGGAGAGCTGGAACATGCCTGTTAGCACGTCCAGCACAGATATCTTGGTTAAAGTACAAGGACATAGAATGTACTACATGCCTGTAAGCACGGCATGTCTAACAGCTACATAAGTTAGGGCTTAACAGAGTTATTAGCACACTCATTCTTTAACAAGAAAGGAAACTTTAAAAGGAGTTTTCTACTTCCCACAGTACATCTTTTCCATTTTTCAGAAACAGGGATGCTAAGAGACTATCTGCACAGGACCAACCTAAAGCTAGCTAGATTTTAATTTTTTTTTTTTTTTTTTTTTTTGAGATGAAGTTTCGCTCTTGTTACCCAGACTGGAGTGCAATGGCATGAACTCGGCTCACCACAACCTCCGCCTCCTGGGTTCAAGCAATTCTCCTGCCTCAGCCTCCCAAGTAGCTGGGACTACAGGCGCGTGCCACCATGCCCAGCTAA